CAATAAATTTTAAAACTCCATCTTCTTGCTGGAAATTCTTCTAGCAAAATATATTATCTATACATATAACTATAACAACATTCTTCTTTTTTGGGGGGAGCACTGGGAATTGAATTCAGGGGTGCTCTACCACTGAGATATATCCCTAGTCCTTTGTATTCTTTAGACAGGGTCTTGAAAAGTTACTAAGGTTCTTTCTTCCTGAATTGCAAAGGCTAGCCTCAAAGTTGCGAACCTTCTGCTTCAGCCTCCCAAGTTACTGAGATTGTAGGCCTGCATCACTATGTCTGGACTATAATTTCCTAAAGAAGCATTACTTCTTAAAGAATTGAATGAGATTAGACAAAGGGGAATGAAGGAAGCGAGGGGTTGATAGGAATAGGAAAGATAGAGGGATGAATCTGACACACCTAAGTGAATCCCACCATCACGTACATCCAGAAGAATGGGGTCCTAATTAGAATAATTGCTTGTGTAATTTTATCAAGATAGATTCTACTATCATGTGTAATTAAAAAGAACCAATAAAAAATTTTAAAAATAATTGAATGAATTTCTATCTAATCTATATGAGCAATAATTTACCAATGCAATTTATATCTAGAGACATCAAATTAACTAATTTAGGATTCTATTCTTTTTTATCTGATGTGCAGTAAGTAAAAATGTAAACTTACGTTAAGTACTTTCTAACTGGATTGAGAATAACCTTTTTCTAATGGGACTAATGGACTTAATAACTGTAATAATTTGTTTTTAAAAAATAGGTAAATCTTAAATTATTTAACTTATAGAATTACGATTTTTTCCCTTAAAAAATAAAAATGTAAGAATGTTTTTCTGTGTACTGGGTTGCCTTACTAAATCTTTCAGGAGCTGGTGCATTAACATATTTTAAAGTCAGTTGAGAGATTTTATCAGTATACTTAAAGGCAGCAGGGTGCATAATTAGGTATGCCTGCCATCTGTATAGCCCTCCAGGTGCAAAAGGCATTAGCTTTATTTAATATTACCACAACATTAATTTTACTCCATTAATTTTGTCATTTGTCCTTTATTTCAAACTCAAGATTGCCAAGACTAAAATACTGGACATGATGACCCAATTCTGATTTTAGTTAAATTCTTATAAACAAAATAGTAATTCTATAAGTAAGCATACTCTTAAGGATAGGAATCTGGTAGCTTTCATATTTTAGAAAAGCAAAACCTTCATGATTTTGGTATAATGGAGGAAGTACATCATTTTAGGTAGTCCTAAAAATCATCATTTTAGGACTATATGTATCCTAATGTATGTAGGATTACATAAGGAAAAAAAAAAACTTTCCAGTTCTAATAAGTCCAAGGAAGAGTTTCCAAAGAGATGTCAACACCATGCTACCACAGGAAAATCTCCCTTTCTAACAAAGAGAGCAGCCCTCGGTTATGAAATTCTGACCCTTGGTAAACAAGAGTATCTTGAGAAAGTTTATGAGCATTTGCTCATAGCTATTTTGTATTTATGGCAAACTATATTGGTTTTCCATGCAAAGGAGTGAGAGATAACTTCTCTTTATAGCCCATTTAAGTTAAAAGAAAAATATTTAGTAATAGTATAGTTATATAAGGATATGGGAAACATGATGAAGGTTGTATGCAAAACAAATGAAATTTTGGAAAGTTTAGTATAAGCTAATTTCCATCCAACTTCAGAGGAAAAAGATACAACTGACAGAAATGAAAACTGAAGACTATTTAAAGAAAGTATTACATTTATGGTACTCATACAACTGTACTACAACCATTTCTTGATAACTTATTCTACTGCATGGTATTAAAACCTTACATAATCTATTTATTTTCCAAATCAATATATATCTAAGTTTTATTGAAGGCAGTAAAGTAACTTGATGTTAAGGAAATTTGGGGAATGGAATTTTTTAATGCCAAGTATTTCAAGGTAAATTCAGGTGAAAAAGCACAATTTTTTAAAAAACAAAGAAGAAAATGTCCAAGGATAAGTATGTTTGTTTCTGGACATATGCTTATAAGGAAAAGGAGGGTAGGGCAGGGATCACAAAGTATTCACAAATGACACAGTCTTTTGTCTAGTGTGAAGAGAACAAGTAGGGGCCTGCTCCTAGCAGGTGCCTCATCAATCTTGTGATGGACTGCGCTTCTGGTACTCATGAAAATGTCAAGAAATAGCTGTAGTGATTCTGAGCTCATTACCATAAATTTGCCTCCTTTCTTGCAGGGGAGGTCCTAGGGATTGAACTCAGGGGCACTTGCCACTGAGCTACATCTCTAGCCCTGTTTGTATTTTATTTAGAAACAGGGTTTCACTGAGTTGCTTAGTGCCTTGCTTTTGCTGAGGCTTTGAATTTGCAATCCTCCTGTCTCAGCCTCCCCAGCTGCTGGGATTACAGGTGTGGATTACCACTGCGCCTGGCTAACTTTGCCTCCTTCTTGACAGAATTCCTTGCTAGGGCCTATTACTAAACTTTCAGTACTTAACTGGCAATTAAAATGCTTACACAAATAAAATATAAATTATTTCTTCTAGTTTATATTGAAATGGACAATACAGAAAACTTCTAAAATCACTTTAAGAACATTTTCCTTAGCTTTCACACTCTTTTAATTTGGAAGTTTTCTTGATATCAACTATTTTTCTCTCAAGATAATGGATTCAATCCTGCCTTCCAACTAGCTCTTTTTAGAAAATGGCAAAATTAAATATTAATTCCTAGCAGAAGTTGAGAAACATCTTTGCATGAATCAAATGCATTCCAGAACATCACAGACATGAAACAACACACCAGGACTGCTGAAAGCTGGTGATGATCATTCTGAGGGTCCCTCCCACACCTTAAACCCCCCCCCCAAAAAAAATCCCCCCCCAAAAACCTGTTTATTCTTGTCTCTCTGCAGGCATTCTTTCAAGTTTTCAGGCTGATGGAGATCTGAAGAGGGACACTAAATCACTGCCTGTCATCCAGACAACAAATGAGCTGACCAAATCCAAGGCAGCTTAGTATGTCTATCTCAATGCAGAAAGAGCCCCCTTCTGCTTGTTCATGTCTATCGAAATCTGCTTTGTCAAGGTTCTTCTGGCGAGGAAAAAAAAAAAAATGATCCTCCTTTTTCTTGTCTTCTTGTCTCTCATGACTCCTAATCCTTTTATGCCTCCAATTCCATTGCTGCTCTGACATACAGATGCTGTGCTACTCCCACTTTCATGAATCAAGTCAGTGCTGAAATGAAACACTTTGTCACTGCCATTATATCCCTCGGAGTGTTGAGGAACACCACCAGAAACTTGTAGTAGTTTCCTGTTTGACTCAATCAATCTCAGTAGGCATTATGGATGATCCACTGTCTTGGTTTATACATGGCACAACATTAAGAGTCTTTATTTAAACTCTTTGCTCAAGTACTTTATTTCTTCACCACAGAAAACGCCACAAAGAAATAGTATAGGAAACACAAGCCTTTGTTATTTCTCTACAATGTCGATGAATCTATACTCTTTTGCTTTTAAACTCTACCTTCCTTCCTCCCTTTTCTCTTTTCATGTGTCAATAGCAATTTATAATATCTTATTATCCCAGCACAATGACAGTAGCTCAGGATACAAAAATATAATATTAATTTCTCAGGGCATCCATAATAAATGCCATCCATAATAAATACCACAACATCCTGGCTTAAAATAACAGAGTTTATTATCTCATAGTTCTGGAGGCCAGAAGTCTGAAATCAAGGTGTCATCAGGCCCCGGGAAAGAATCCTTATTTCTCCAGCTTTGGTGGCCCCAGGTGTTCCTTGGCATATTTCTTTGCCATCATTGTTTGTTTTGTTTTTTAATTCAGGACTATAAATTGTTTTATTGATCTTACATTCTGTGTACTTCCTTTCTTGTATGATGAAAATCTTACTTCTCAATGATATTAACAATTACTCATTTGTCTTTGTCTCTGTGTCTTCATACAGTCTTATAAAGCTACAAGTCATGGGACAGGACACACTCTATCCCACAATGACCATAAATAATTACTTCTGCAAAGACCCTATGACCAATGGTCACATTCTAGGATTCCAGGTGGACATGAATTTTGGGAGAATACTGTTTAAGCTAGGACAGATGTCCATTGGGTTCTTTTTTGGAGTCTCTTTCACATATTTACTCAAACTTCAATTCAACTGGCTTACTTTCCCTCACACAGTGTTAGTATGCAGAGTCCTCTATAAACATTTTTGCTAGTTTAAACTTCTAAAAGTGGTCAGTTTAGCTTTCAGTGGCCTACCACCAAAGAATCCTGGCATAGCTTCATAAGGGAAGGCCCTAAGTGGTGGCTAAGAAAATGGATATATCACTGAAATAGTAAACTGATTTTTTTACATTAAGCACCTCAATTTACAATGATTGGTTGAGGAATACATCTCCCAAATTGTTGCACTAGGTGTGTAGTTTTTTCCATTTATTTTTATATGGACTAGAAGCACAGAATTCTTAAATTCTTATAAAAAATATTTTCTTGCATTTTAGAATTAAATAGAAATTTTCTGATGAAACAATTATTATTTTACAGATGAGATAAATCTGAGGGAATGTATATTCTTACTGGCTAATTTGGGGACAGAACTAGTAAAGATTTCCCAATTCTTTGATCAGTGTGTAAATCAGACTTTTCATATCTATTAAAATAAATAATTTTCATTACGATTTTTCTCTCTGAATACACTTTAGCTATTTATTAATCTAAGAATAACTTCCAATATTATTGCATTAATAGTACCCTGGAAAAACACACAGGGACTTCTCTTCCTAGGAGTCCATGAATGTTTAGTGCTCAAAAATATTGTGGAGGTAAAAAATATGGAGTTTTCCATAATGACATTGTTCATATTTCTTCTAATTGCATCCGTGGATATGATACATGCTATTAGACATGATAGAAATCAATTTTTAAATAGTAAGTCTTAAATAATAAACCTTTCCCTCAGTACAGACAGTAAGCAAACAGAAATTCTTGCTTTTTTATTTGTGCACCACTGAAATTTCTTCTTATTTATTCACTTTAATTATGCGTTTACACAAGAATGCTGTAATAAAATATCTGTACACTACTTCTGTTACAAATATAATATTTAAAGTGACTTTATATACTCTAATGTAGGAGTTTCACGCTCTAAAATGGGAATGAACACATGATAATTCCTTGCCAGTTGTCTCAATAAACAGCTCCATCTGTTTCCCTTAGTCTAAAACTATTGTATTATAAGATGTTAATATAAGGCAATGAAATGAAGTTATGTTAATCCCCTTAATTTTTCTATCAATTTACTAAGGGCATACAACCAAAATAATTACTAACACATTGCTTTTTTCTCTGTCATTAGGAGTAATACTAATTGAAAAACAACTGCACAGCGCATAAACACATTTTCAGTATTGCATCAGTTGTTGAAAACAGCACTAAAAGATTCTGGGACCCTTTTACATTCTTCCATGATTAGCCTGGGAATGTTGTTCTCTAGAAAAACCAGTCAATGTGGGGTAACATCATTGCTTTACTTACAGCAACATGAGAATATTTTATAACAGGTCAAAAAATGAAAATGAACATCAAGATGTGCTTTAAATATGATTCCTTTATAAAACTTAGGAACATTGCTCCATATATTTGCTATTTACTCAATCACAGAACACAATTTAAGCAGCAAAAATATATGTTTACATTAGAGGTGAGGAGATATGGTATTTTATAATGTTCAGAACTTTTAAATACTAAGAGTATTAGATTTTTTTTCTTAGTTTGGGGTAGGGAAAAGAGACAGATTGCTGAATTAAGTCCTTTTTTAAAAAAAACTCTCCTAAGATTTTCCTTATTTACTATAACTCTTCACTTTTCAAACTAAAAGTGAATTTCCTGAAGTCACTTTTTTTTGGTTAGATTTAGAATTGTTATTATCTATTAATGAGATTGATACATAATTTTTATCCATGTGACTACAAAATTTTGAATACTTTTAAAAGAAAAACTGGATTTCCATACACAAATATTATTCCTCTTTTGAGTTTAGGTTCACAAAATACAAGGGGAAAGAAAAAAATGATGTTTAGATGTCAGCAATAAAACCACACTACAAAAACAAACTTAAATGTTATTTTTCCCTACAATTTTGGATAACCCATGAATACAATATAGGAAAAGTCATCCACAAGATCAATTATCCACAGACCACTTCCATTCTTATAGTGGGAGGTAAGCAAGGGATTGGATTGGTTCAGTTCAGGCAGCCAATTCAGGAGAGAACCATCAAAGTGACAGTGCCTTTTGTCTGCTTGAGGATGGCCACTGCTTCTTCATGGGTTACCCCTTCTAGGCTCTGCCCATTGACAGCAATGATTTGATCACCCCTTTTAAGACGTCCATCTTCTGAGGCTGCTCCCTGCAATTATAAAGTAGACTTGTTTACTTCTCAAAAGAATGCAGCTTCACACAACAGAAAAAAAAAAAAAGATCTAAATAAGAATATAAATTGCTCTGCATGTACAAGCACATTGCTCTTGGTGCTCCACAAATATTAAGCAATGATGAACATACACAAAGGAGGTCTTTCTCCTAAATGGTTTTAGTATTGAGATTACAATTTGGCAGAGAATCTAGCAGTCAATAGATAGATTTCTTTTTTCTTCTTTTCTTTTTTTTTTGGGGGGGGGCGCTATTCAGCACAGCAGTTGGTAGAAATTCAAGTTAATAAAGAATATTTGGGAATTTGCCTAGTAGGAATGATTTCATAGAATCCATGATTTTCTATTCTGTAAAGACCTATAGAAAAAGAAGACACAAAATTAACTAGGAATAAAATCAGTTTCACAGCACCTGGATACAAGGACTAAAAGGTTTGCAGAAGCACAAAGCCCATGTCTAGGTTGACTAGGACATGATAAGGTACCAGCGCTGATATTAAAATCCATCGCTGGGGCTGGGGGTATAGCTTAGTGGCAGTATTCTTGCCAGAATGTGAGAGGCCCTGGATTCTATTCCTAGTCTGTCTGTCTGTCTGTCTGTCTGTCTCTCTCTCTCTGTCTCACACACACACACACACATATACACACACACGCGCACGCACATGCATGCACATACATAGTTAATTCTAACTCTTTCTGTGACTTTCAAAAGGCGGCTCAAGCTGTCTTGGTTCTTACTTCCCAAGAGTAGATGGATTCTTTATATTACTATGGGCCCTACATGAAAAAGATTAAACACAGACATTGTTGTTTGAAAAAGAATCCAATCTTAAGGCATGCTTATAGAAGACAATTATGCAATTAAATATAAGATTAAAATATGGAGAATTTAATGAGGAATCCATAATGATGAAATTCTTAAAATATGTTCTCACTAGCATGCCTTAAATAAATTGTTCCTAGTCTGAGGAAAAGGACTGCATGACTCTCCTGTTCACTGGCAAATGCTGTTTGTATTTTTGGACACACCAATAGCTTTTTTAAAAATCTCAAAAATTAAGCTAAAGCACTTTAAACCAATTAAAAATAGTAATACTTTTTTCAAAATAATATAATAAAACCTCCATAAATTAAAGGACCATAGCATTAATCTAAAGCCTCTATGTCAAATCTTTAAACATGTTTTGAATGAATTTTGCTTTCTTTCACTATAAAATTTTGAAATTTTGGATTTTCTCCTGTAGAAAATTTTGTCCAAGTTTGTAAGTCTGAGAATATATGTCTTATGAACATAAATATGCCTTAGCAATCAAATATGGGTTTCGGTTGTTTGAATAGCTTCATCAGTGTCCCAGTATCTTTATTTTTGTTCAAATATTCTTGATAGAAATGTTTTTCTTTATAAAAAATAAAATCCCTTAATTATGAATAATCAATTTATTATAAATGACAAGGCTGCTGGATACTCTTTAAATTCTTTTTAGTAATCTTTCTATTTTATTCAATGAAATTAAACTTGTCAAATAAATGTTCTATTAGTTAACGTGAATATACATTTTGTGCACTTTTCTGTACCTATTTTCTATTTCACAACAACAAAAAATGCAATGAAAAAGAAATGCCAGTGCTTGGTAGCATACATATTTAAAAGGCCCCATTTTCAAATGACAATTATGTACAACTTGTTTTCAAAGGAAAGAACAGAATTTACTAACTAAAATTAATTAATATTTTTATGCATGTTGTCAAGAGTTTCCATGGAGTTTTAATTTGAAGCTATTTTCCTTTAAACATTATTAAGCTCAAATTGTACAAAAATATTTAATGACTTGCTCCTGTAGGGAGTTTAGAAAGAAAATGATCAACTGTTAACCATTTGGCATTACCTCAGGCCATAAACTAATAAGCCAGCTGCTGACCACTGTTAATGAATGTTTAGCAGAGAAGAGAATGGTTAAAATTTGCAAGCTTACCTTAGCAAACACTGTTTTCACATAAATGGGTAAGTCTCCATGAGGGCTGCCATATCCTCCTACTATACTGAAGCCTAAGCCATCTGGTCCTCGGTCTAGTGTAATAGACTTACACTGAGGAGGTCTACAGTGAAGGAAAGGAAAAAAGAGGTTTGGAATTTTTTATAGATTACACACACACACACACACACACACACACACACACACACACACACACACAATCTGAGTCTGTACGTTATGCACTGTCTGACATCTACCTAACACTAGCATAATTCCTTGTGTTCTAATAGGGAATATATTATGAATATTTTGGGGATGCTTAAATTGTCAATGCATGCTGTGTGCAGTATTGAAATTTACATAATCTAATGAAATCCTACTTAACGCCCTAATTCTATTACTCATTTACAGTTGCCTTAAACTAACATATTCACTGCATGTTCTCATGGCACAGAAAAACTCATTCTTTTTTTGGTTTATTTAAAGTGAGAGGGCTAAAGTTCAGGGGACTGTAATGGAATAAGACATAAACATTGGAGTTCCTAAGCTTATATAGAAAAACTGATTAAGTAATTTTATATAGCTTATATTGTTTGTAAACATTCCAATGTTCTTCCTCTTTTCTCTACTCTTCTTATTTTCTTATGCTTTTGGTATTCAGTGTTGTTATCCAATGGCAGTGCATTTTTTCATTCAAAAGGAAGGATGTATGAAATGAGTTAATAATGCTGAAAAATTAAAGAATAAATTTGACTTACTCTCTATCATACAGTGGTAGTGATATAAAGACTAATAAGCTCCCCTCCCTCCAAAAAAATCAGAAATGAAAATGTGGGAAGGGTAGTATTATGTATAGCTATGGGTCTATAATCTATCCTTCCTTGATTAGCTAAATCTATGCCATAACTGTTCACAGTTAAAAGCACTGAGGTTTTGCATTTTATGCCTCATTTCCCTATATATTTCATCTCTAGGTGAATGCTAGAAACATGTGACAGAGAATATAATTGTCAGGAAGACTTGATTCATAAGTAACAAATAATGTACCATAACATAAGAGCTCACCCTAAATCATCCTGAAATATGCTGCTTGATGTTAGTCCAGTGAAAGACAGACTAGAATTTGTAGGCTCTGGCTGATGACCTGTGACCACACTTACATCTCCCCCAGCAACCACCTGTGTACAAAGGAGCATAGAGAGGAAAAAAGACACATGTTCATGTGGCTAGGGAGACAACAGCAGTTTTTCTTCAAAGAGAGAATTTGGATTAAAATGTGTATTTTATTGTCCACTTAATCATTTCTGTGAACATAAGAGAGAAATTTCACAAGATCCAGTGGCTTTTTAACTATACAGATAATAAAAATATTCTAACTCAATTCTACAATGCTGTCTGACGCTTTTAAAACATGGTCTCCTGTGCAATTATTTTTAAAAGACTCTTGGAATATAAGACACTCACACCACTTAAAATTCTAACAATTAATGTTCACAGTTGAGACTCTGTATTTTGCCCTTAGAAATAAAGTAGGAGACAATAAATGCATAGGGGTAAAATGCAATGGAATGTGTTTCATATGTATATTCTTCAAGCTCTCAGTTTATATCATTTATGTTCAAGGATATATTAAATGCAAAAAAAGAGATTCAATCCTTTTTACTGCTTTAACATCAAAGTTCATGTGCCCTCAAAGTTACCCATATTCTGAACAGTGCTTGAGATACAAACCTCACCTGCATTTCAATGGAGCCAGGGGCATTTTTCAGTAAGTTAACTGCTTGAGTGTGAGTCATCCCCTCAGTTGATGTGCCACAGATGGTGACAATCCTATCACCAACCTGCCAGGGAGAGAAAGAAATAGCCACCTACTAAAGCACACAGGGAAAATAAGACTTGGAGACCAGTGCAGTCATTTCCTTCTCTAATGTAAACTTCACATATATACTGTCACTAGACATTAAAATATAATGATGAAAATGACCAATTCCAAGAAGTCCAAGGAGCAACCACAAAAAAAGTTGTACACATTGATTTCTATAGTCACCAAGGGAGTGGGAGGGAGAGGGGGAAAGTCATTCTTCATTTCTCCAGGGTAAGGCATTATTTCTTATTAAAATAATAAAATATGGATATTATCTGGAAACTTCAATTTCTCTGGATATTATCACTATAATCGTTAGATGTGACTAAATCAGGGGCTGGCAAATTAATGCCCACAGGCTAAATCTGGCCCATTACCTATTTTGGTCAATAAAGTTTGGTTGGAAGACAGCTAGGCTTATTTGGCTGCTTGCACAGGGCAGAGCTGAGCAGCTGCAACAGACACTCATATGACCTATAAAGCCCAAAATTTCACTGTGTCCTTAGAGAAGAGTGATCCCCATGGTATATATACCATCATTTTTTAAATGTCAGTAATTAATTTAGATATCAAAAGAGGCTGAACCATTTCCAATCTAGAGGATATTTACACTAAACATGATTGTGTTTGGAGAACTTTTATGAGGCGACAGAGACTTTACTTTTAAAGAGACTGAGTTGCTTTAAAAGAGTATTTACATGATTTTGGAGCTGTCCAGTTATCATAAAGCCCATCAAACTCTTCTAATATGAATAATCCCTCAATGTAAGCAAGTTTTGTGTAATTTTACAATATTGCAAGTCACTTTATATTAAGTTTCTGCAAACTTTACAATCAAATGAAAATAAATGATACTTTTCAATTTAATAAAGTTGATTCAGGATTTATGCCAATAAAACAGAAAACAGAAAACTTTCACTTCATACTAGCTTTCTGAAAATAACTTTGCATTATTTTAACTTGTTCCAGAGTCAAAACATATAATAAAAATACAAAGAGACAATTGTAAATCTTCCCATTTCACTTACTCACAAATTCCCGGTCATTTTTTTCCTTTCCTTTCGTTTTGTTTTGAATTATTATTCTTTATCCTTTACTTAAAGCAAGGTCTGCTGTAGCTTGGTTAGCTGACTTAGAACAGCCTTGCAATAGATGGTTAGATTAGAAGGATTTATATAAAACAAAAAAATACTACCCCATAAAAATCTTTTGCTAGATTTGTTAGAGCTACTATGGTTATTGGTAAAAACTTACCCTGAGTTTCTGCGTCTGAGCTGCAACTCCATTTGGGTGCATCATTGCAATAAATATAGGAACATCACCAAGTGGGCTGCCCACTCCTCCAGCTATGCTGATTCCCAGTGAGTCAGTAGGCCCCTGCCATGCAACAGATGTAAGATTTTAGTAAAAGTATTACTTTCAATTGACCTTTGTTTATTCTTTGGTTCAAGATTCTAGTGTCCACCTTGATGTTCTATGGGTGTGAGGGTAGAAAATGTAGCTTAAGATAACTGCATTATTTTATTTGATAGAGGTCCTTAGTATGGGTTAAGAAAATAAGCATCTGTTCAGGAAGTAAAAAAAAATCAAGATATGCTAAATGGAAATCATATTGTGAGACAGATGAGCAGGTAAACTCTGAAGTGAAAAGGCCACAATCTGGGGAATCAAATCTGAGTTCAAATCCAGGGATCTATGCTTACAAATGCTAGGATCTAGAACAATCCCACTCCTCAACAGATCACCAGATGATCTTCATTCCTAAAATGGTGATAACAGTGACCCTTACAGAGGGCTGCAATGAATATTAAAGGACATGATGTTGACAAGAAGTGTCTAGAAAAGCGCTCAACACATCCTAAGGCTCAAAAATTGCAGCTGCTTTTATTTTCTCTCTCGTTCATGGCTGTCTGGGAAATCTGTTTCAGCAAAACTGAGAAGTGTCTGTTGAAAGGAAAGGCTCACTGATCAGCAGAAGGGAGATGGAGGGAATGATTGGGTGTAGGGTCAGATTGATGCCAATTTTGGCAAAAGTGATTTTTCAAATGAGGTCATATCACTAGGAAATTCAGCAAAGACTGCACTGTGTTATTTCCACTGTATACAATGTGTGTGTGTGTGTGTGTGTGTGTGTGTGTGTGTGTGTGTGTATTCAGCTGGATACTATGAAGCAATAACATAGTTACAGAAAAATACAAATGTAGATGCCTCTGAAAACACCAAATTACCTTTTTTATTTCAACTGTTCTTAATCCCTGTATTTCAGATGCTACTGTAAAAAAAGATATAATACAGTTATCAAAGCATTTTTATGAACATTAAATTTTCACCAATACATGGAGCTAGATGGACTACATGGGCTATCATTTATTTTACTAAAAAAATAAATGATACACAGTAGATGTGATTAGATCTGACTCATAAAGGAACTCATCATTTTACCAGTTGGAAAAAAGCACATACCATCTCATTTCATCTCTTCATTTTAAGCATCGATTATATAACTATATAATCCACTTTGAATGAGTCAAGGACAGAATGCACTTTGCATAGAAAGACACATGCACAGCTGAGAGGAATAAAGTCACGGATGCATTTTTAAAAGAATCCATGGACTTAAGTGCCTAAACTTCTAGAATATTAGTCATATTGCAAACAGAGACTGCCATATGGTTAGTTTCTTCAATTTGAACAACTTTCAACTAATGTATCAAGCCAAAAAACCCTTTGCATCACGATTTCATGTAATTAAAACACAGGAGGATGATATTAATTTTCTCAAAATTTTGCAATCTTAATGGAAAAAGAAGGCTTCACTTAGTGGCATCTTCTGATTTGCTGGAGTCACATTAAACAGAGGAAGAGAAGCAAATCAAACACACCAGTCTGCTCAGTAAGAAAAAACTACACAATCCTGATGATAATGTTTCCTATGTCTTTCAGGGTAAACATCAAATGGGAAAAGCTGCCACAGGCACAGAATCATGATATTCAGATTTTTTTGCCAACCCACGTTTTTGTACCTCCGTAAAGATATGGGATGATTTGGGAGATGGGGGAAAAGGAAACAAAAAGAGAAAGAGTGAGAAGGAGGGAGGGAGGGAGGGATAGAAAAAACCAGTGTTGCCGACCAAAATTCAGATCAGTAAAACATGCTTAAAATATTGAACCAATCTTACATGCATTCTTCTTTGAGCTGCTTTCCAGTGACTCAGATGTACTTATTCCAGAAAGGGGAAGAGTAAATGATGACAAACTGCCTTCACTCACCTACAAAATCCACCAATTATTTTAGAAGATTTTAGAAATAATCAATCTCCCTAAATACCTCTTATTTCAGAATTCAATTTTTTTAGTGCATCTAAAGAGAAATATCATTAAACAACAGTGGCATTTGATAATTTGAAGGGAAATTTAAACATAATTCCTGATGATTTTTTTTTCTTTTGAAGAAATAATTTGCCTAATAACATGGGTAAATTGAAGCTAAGAGGGTAAATAAGACTGATTTCAACTTACCTAAAATTTTAATAGGTTTCATAATCTCATTTAAGACAATCCTTTATAAATTTAAACAACTGATGCACAAAGACTAGGACTTAAACAAAAACTATACAATTAGAGCCTGTTAATGATAAACTAATCTAGTAATTAAGGAAGTCTGAAAGTGTTACTCAAAGCAAGATTGGTACAAATCTACTTCTGTCTTCAGAAGAAAGCACTGAGGAAAGGACTTGGAAAAATCTTGAACTATTTCAATATTTTAATTTATATATAGTAAAGAGAATTTACAGTTCACCTATTTGGGGTTTTTCAGCTGAATATTGAATACTGATTGATGCTAGCAATTGCTACACAGTATGTTTAAAATCTGATATCTTAGTAGACCTTACATATATTCGATGATAACTCATTGAGATTATGGGAAAAGAAGAATGCTTGAAATCACATTCTTATAATGTTTTAAACTAATCAAGAGTCACACCTTGCCTCTTTGCCCACTCTCATCTCCTATTCTGCCCTATCTCAAATTCTGCACTCAGTCACTCAGTCACCCTGCTTAGAGGGCCACATATGTGTCCATGTCCCTGACAGTGCCACCATGGGGCCATTTATAAGCTCTTCTTGGTGTATGGACAGCTACCCACCTGGCTGCTCTGAGAAGGCCTCCTCTCTGAATGGAATGGACCAGCTTTGATTCTTCCAACTTCCAGGGTTACTGTGCCTAGGGAACACTGGGGGAGTGGTTGTTTTATGGAAATGCTTAAATAAAATTCTATAATCATCTTTAGCAATACATTTTACTCTTCAACACTGAGGTTTTGAAAGTGTTTTTCATTTGGGATTTCCACAGGTAAGGATATCACCAATCCTTTGTGAAAAATGCCTTTAAAACATTAAAACTAATAAAAACTAACAAAAACAAACAGCAGCAGCAACCCCAGGTGTATGTCTTGTATCTCAAGATTTATATGGAGATTATTTTTACCAAAGCAAACAGAAATTGAGAATTGAGCAAATTTCTCATGAAACACACTGATGTAGAAAGGCCAAATGAACTGAATAACCCAGGGCTTAAAATAAACAATAAATTTGCTACTACAACCACAACTTATTTTTCCTTAATAGACGAGGTGCTCATAAACTTGGGCAAATGATCTGAAGCTACACAGTACCTGAGTAGACTTCTTACATAATACTTAAATAAATATTGTCATAAATACAAAATAAAAACTGAAGATAATTTCCCTATAGCCCTTTACAAATAAGCCATAGGCATGCAAGAAATGCTACATAGCCTAATACTACAGGATGTAGTAGCACCACAAGGTGTTTGAGACCCTGGGCTTTTGAGTTCAGACACACTGATTTAAATTCAGACTGTGTTTTACTAGCTCTGTGACCGTAATGGATATCTAATGTTAATATAGTTGTTGTTCTGCATTTTTAGAATGTAGAGCATAATAAGTTGTTAAGAAAAGTAATCCATGTACAGTGCTTATGACAGAGTCTAAGAGTAGGCATAAAGAGGAGGCACTGACATTGTTATGCTGCTGATGTGCTACCAAGGGAAGCTTGAACTTGAGAAGTCAAAACTTAACCTGAAATAGCCATCAGTTGATTTTTATTTGTTTTGTTGGTTCATCGTTTTGTTTTGTTTTTAGCCCCAAACTTACCAAACTTTTCTTGGGAACTACTTGTGTTTTCAGCTTACATAAATGCAGAAGTTAACAAGTTCATGCATTTATTATTCACTATGCAGTGTTATAACTCTTTCATCTACCTATAACACAGCTCTTTCAAAGTCCAAAGGTTTTAATTATTATAAAAAACTTAAGGTAATCTTTCCATTATAAAAGCAATTAATTCTCATTAGAAAAAAATTGGAAAGTAAAATGAGGAAAAAGTTAATTTCAATAATTACCTCATAATTGTTGTTAAAAATTTATAAGGTTTCATTTTACATAACTGTATTGATATTGTAAACCACAATTGTTTTTTGTTTTATCTTCACTGATTACATTTTTTATATTAATATAGTTGTCATAAAGATCACTATAAATAGACATGTTTGTTATGCATCTTTGAAATACATGCCAAAGTTGATGTAGTTTTTTGTCAACTATGTTACTTCCAATTTTCTTATTATTACAAATAATACTCTGATGAACTTTATGTGCTTGAATTTTTCCATATTGTAAGTTATATGAGTAAGGTTTTTAAATGAAGAATTAACCAATCAAAATAACAAACAGCAGCATAAACATTATAGTATACAAATATTTAAGGTTCTCAACCATACAGGTTGTTACAATGGTTGGCTGCACTGATATTAAAATTATTTATGTTTTATGGATACTTTCTATTCAGAGACATATCAGTGCTACAGAGCCAACATATTTTTATCTCCAGAGGAAAACTGTTCCTCCTTAAAGAATTCTTAATGTTTAAAAAACTTCAATAAATTACAGGTTTTAATGTTTTGTTAATGGATGATTTTATATCCACATTCATATTCACAATCCTATCTAAATCATAGAGGCCAAAAATAAGAGCCTCGCCTGGAACATCCCTCCACGGCGCCCAGTCCACCATGGCAGAGCTGCCACGTGGACTCACAGCAAGATGTAGTCAAGGCATGGGCACTGAGGGAAATGGTTTTCTAGTCAATGTTGAATTATACTTCTTCAGGTTAAAAACCACACGAGGTAAAGGGGAACAAAAAGATAAGCATTGCCCATTTACAGGAATATATATCCTCCCTATAAACTGGAATATACCCTAATAAGAAATATGTCTATAGTCCTAAGAAATGTATTTTTAAGTGATTAGTCTGTACTTTACAATTCTTTTTTAAAATGAGACTCGTTCTGCCTTTTCAATAGGAAAATGATCCTTCTTGAACTTTCTTTGGAGGAATCTATTTCATAATGCGAAATGTACTTAAATTTAGAATGATACCTAGGGATGGGGTCCTTCCAACAAACTGAATAATTCCCAGTGAAAGTACTGCCAGGTGAAACTGCATTAAATTATTTTCACTATATAAGGCTGGCCCACCCAAACCTGATTTTAAATACCAACTTTCAAATAGTTCAATAGTTTTGAGTCAGAATAGGATTTAGACAAAACATTATATTCTAATGCTCATAAATAATAAAAATCTTTCTGCCACATTTTTTGTCACATTATTCATTATCCTTCATAAAGATGTTGACATTGCTATGCCAAAATAGGGGTTAAAGAAGAGCTGGGGACAGGAAAGCCTAGAAAATATGATCTCCAGAGGTGCCATGGATACCCATCTCACCTCCGGTGATCCCCACATTGGGCAGTTCTGCCAAGACACTTTTAAAAAGCATCTCTGTGGGGCTGGGATTGTGGCTCAGTGTCAGAGCACTTGCTTTGCATATGCGAGGCACTGGGTTCCATCCTTAGCAACACATAAAAATAAATAAACAAAAGACATTTTTGGCTGCTTTGACTACAGTGATGTATATATACATTATACTAAGAAAAAAGGATAACAGACGTTTAAAATAGTATCCAAAGTTAAATAAACAAAAAAGAAAACAGAAAAAAAAGTTCACCTCTGTGTTTGAGATGTGTCTAAATCTGTATCTAAATCAGAAGCTGTAAGAAATAATCCAGAAACAAAGATGGAGGTACAAAGATTGAGACTTTTGTGTCTGAATATGTGTTTTGTTTTAAACAAGAATTTACACAATATTCATCTTAGAAAGATTTACTAAAATTCCAGATACTCAGTTCATGAATCCTAATACTGCTAAATAAAAACAGAACAACATAATAAACAGCTGTCACTGAAAATATGTAATAGCATATTTTTTGCAAAAAGTCTTAAAGAAGTTTATTTTTTCCAATTATAGAGAAGTAGGAAAAATGTTTTATTTGAGATGATACTTTAATGAAGTGACTAAACTATTGTAGTTGAAGTTTAAATTCTCTTTCTTTTTGCTCTTATACACACTTATTTTTGGCATCGGATTTATACCTTTAGCAATGCAGCTACAGCTTCCTGGGTGGCATTGCGAACATCTTCTCCATTCACCATTAATATCTGGTCACCCTGCATCAGTCTTCCATCAGCATCTGCGATGCCTCCTTTGACAATATCTGACACAAATACTCCAGTATCGTTTCTGCAAACCATTTTGAATTTCAACATTATTACTTTTTCTCAACTGAAATGAAATGTTTATTTAATGGAAAGCTAACTTTTTTAAAAAATGAAAAATTTACGTCTATTTTTAAGGGTTTTATTGTTTTGAGCAATGCTGGGGCAACATTATTAGAACACATTTTGTATTTAATAATGGCATATGTTTTACAGTATTTCAGAGATTGAGCAGATCTTTTATAAGCATATTTGTTGTTCATCAATTATATACTGTGAAGAGGAGGGGATACTATTCTTCTCATTTTATGGGCCACACAACTAGTAAATGGTAAAAACAGGAATAAAGAGCCAGTTCTCGGATGTTAAATCTATTGTTCTTTCTACACCATTATGAATCCTTAAATGGATACTGACTTGTGGCTATGAAAACACATTATTGTTATCATCAACACTGTTAACATTGTTGGAAATAAATAACACATGTGTATCTTAAACTAAAACCATTTGTTACTCAAACTTAACTACCATTACTGCAATGTATTTTACTTTGAATCATTACAGCTTACTTAGACATAAGATAGATTTTTTTCCAAAATGAGCAAACATTAATCTTATTCCAATCCTTTTATAGAAAAATAAAAACTAAATGAAATCAAAAAAGTAATAACAAAACAAAACAAATCCCCAAACTTCCCATTAAGATACAAAAGTAAATGTAAACAGAAATGCATAGTGAAAGATGGGATATATCACTTGTTCTTCCAGGGATCTGACTCAAACACAGCACTCTACCTTCTGATTCTAGTTTCACATCTTCAGAATTAGGGTATTGGATTAGATAATCTTTGTGTGCTCTTCCTAATGTAAACAGGATATGTTGCTGGAGCTTTTTATAGTGCCTTGGTGACCCCACATGTTGTGGTAGCCTGGTCCCCATGTGAATGCTAAGCTCACAGTGTTTCTGAACAGCTACACAACTGATATTGTTTTCCCAAAAATAATGTCTAATTTTTCAGACACATTCCTATTGAAATTTTAATAATATGATACTTTCTTTCTGTGTATTAAAAAAAAATCATTAGTTGTCTCTTAAAAAACAAACTGGAATAAATATCCTTTTATTTCTGAATTGAAATGTCCCTGCAGAACCAGGTAGGCATTTTGATACGCCCATTTCCAAAGGATATTCTGATGTAAAGGACACAATTTCATAAATTTTTGACTCAGTTGGGAGAAAAAAGAAAAACCCTAGTTTGAAACTAGATATCTGAGGCCTGAAAAATGGTGATAGTAATTCAGTTTCTTTTTACTGAACATTTACTTCATTTGTTTCATTACCTGGTATTTTCTGATCCCAATGAGCTTATAATACTAAAAGGAAAAAAATACTTATGGAACTTAATGTTACTATGACTTAATATAAATATTTTAAAACATACCTATAAATATTAAACTAATCATGTGCCCTTACTGATCTGCCTGCACCCATCCCCTGCTTCATGCTTTCTGTCCTGTGCTGATGGCATGCTCCTGTCATTCTGATCTTTCTCCCTGTATGATCCTCCAGTCCCTTCAGCAGACCAACAATCATCTCAATCACTCTCAGCCTCAGTGCAGGCACCTCTCTTCATGAAACATTTCCCTAATCCACTTCTCTTGGTTCCTCTCTCCTCTGCTTCCACAGCTCCCCCATAATGTGTCTCTCTAATTCCTCAACAGATTGATTTGCTATAAGAATATTTTTAATTCTTGTTCGCCAAACTGTTAATTTTTGAGGTCAGAAACCATGTCTTATTTAACTTTGTTCCTCAGAATGTAAGGTATTTCCTGACACATAGCTAGCACACAAAAACACCAAAAGGCTTTTTGTCGAGCCTACTCAAAATCTCCCAATATCCTGATTTAAATGTTCAAAACCAGTATCATTCTATGCTTTCACTGTAAGTGGGCAAATGATAGCTACTTGCAGAACATGAACTATTGATAAAATTCTACTGTTGTTGCAATCAATTCCAAAGGCACACCTTTTACCAACAATACTTAATCCTAGGCCTTTCCCTGGCTTCTTCTGAAGCTCAATGGTGAGGGCATCACACACGTCCTCCTCTTTGTAGGGGGTCTCATCTCTGTAGAGTGTCAGGCGCACTCTCTGCGGCGTCTGTCTCAGGACGTTGATTGCTTCATCATGTGTAGCCTTTCTCAAGTCAATGCCATTCACCTAAACAGATATGGGACATTGATTGGAGGAACTGGGGGAATTAAGTGAAGAAGGGAAGGGAGGTAGGAGGGCAGAGGAGAGAAAGAAAGCAGCAAAGAAACACATAACCTCTCACTGACTTTCTCTGTTATTTTTTGAAGATCAAAAATAAGCAGTCTGTACCTCTAAAATCTGATCTCCAGCCCAGAGTCTTCCATCTTTACATGCTGCTCCTTCTTCATAAACTTCATGGATAATAATGGCGCCCTAAGGTTCCAAATACAACATAGTATGCTTTATCCCATTCTCCCTTTGAATGGTGAGAAGAAATGAAGTCCAAACACAGCGTACTTTTCTGATAGCCACAGGGATTTATGTACTCACTAGGTTTATATGTGAGCCAAATAGCATCATTCTAGGAACTATGTAATAGCATATTTTTGGAAAAAAGTCTCAAAGAAGTTTATTTTTTCCAATTATAGAGAAGTGGGAAAAATAAAACATATAAATCATACTTAAATATAGTAAGAAAATATTATTGTTTCTATCCACAAACAAAATGATTCTGAAAGTATTTTTGACATTTAGGAAATTCTGTCTACAAAGCATCCAGTTTTTCAAACTCCTCTCAATATAGGACTAAACCAACCTGGATATTAATAAAAAGGAAATTAAGTTATGTCAAGTACTAGTAAGACATTCTGAAAACTAAAGGTCACAGTAACAAGTGTAACACAATCTTACTGAGTCAGTAGTGATCAATACTCAAAGTAATGATCCTAGTACCTAATCAAATGTTTGCCCTATAAATGAAAATAACAATAAGTGATTCATAATTCATATAATTAACTGATAGGAATCTCCCTGGAGTCTCTTGAAGCTGTCTGGAGGCTGCCTGCATGGCTGAAGCACTCTGGATGGGCACTCACCAGCAATGTGTCAGAACCTCCAACGATGCTCAGACCCAGCCCTGTTCGCCCTTTGGAAATCTCAATTGTTGTTTCACAACCAGGGATAATGGGGCAGGTTGCAGGGTCAGAAGCAAAGATTGCTGGTGTTGATGATCTGCTTGTACCTAAGAATAAATTAAAAATGAAATAAAATAAAAATAAAAATGAACTAGAAAATATGTATAAGAAACTCGACACAGGTTGTCTTTGGGATGGAGCAGGGAAACAGGTCCAGGACTGGGGGGAAAAGGAGAATTCTTCAATTTTGCCTTCAATCTTTTAGTTATCTTATATTTTAAAATGTCAAACAAACATGACTAGGTAATCATTGTTAATTTGGATGGTAGGTACAAAATTATTTGTTTAATTATTTTAATTATCACTTGCTATTCTGTACTTAGACAACAAAACACATCACTAATCTTGGTCATGGTGCCTGCTCTTTTTACTTTTTTGATTTCCTCTTCTTCTCCTAAGCATCTCTTCTTATGTAATCACTTCTGAACAGATACGCATAGCACATATGCATGCATGTACACATAAGCATTTGCAGTTTTCATTGTGGTGTCTCATTGGTGTTTTCTAAACTCCGAGACTAAATCCTAATGCAGACAGGTCAGAACTCAACACATAAGAATATAATATAAAAACAAGAATATAATTCCACACCTTGCTTTATGAGTCTTCATACTGTATCATATGTTTTATGATACAACAAAGAACACATAGCAATAGCATGTTTGGGAAAGCAAGGACACTCAGTAGGGAAGCGTATGCTTTAGGCAAGATGTTCTCTTTTTAGGAAATCAGAAACAGACTATTTTCTTGTTTCTGAAATGGTATGAACAGGTGTAAGATATTTTCTTTTATGTTAAGTTTTCATTTAGAATTTCATATTTTTATAGACAATGCTATTTAGGGACCAACATAAAACTGAAAAAAATGAAAAAATTTCCATAAAATCTTTTAACACTTCAGCAAATTACCCAGAATTACTTTCTAAATACAGGATTACTTTCATCAGAGATGTATTACTTTAAGACTTTTTGTCCAACTATATTATGAATGTTTTAAACCAGCATTTCCCTAAAAACCTGTCAGAAGAACTGAATGTTTCAGTTTGTAGGCCAAGATATCCTCCTAAGTTGAAAAATAAACCAATGTTTTTAAATCAAAATTTACTGCAGAGCTAGTATGATTTTTCCAAAAAGTAACTAAAGGGAATAATTTCCCTCTATATACTCATCTGGCAGTTTAATGACACACCAATACACATACATACATTTCATCTAATTTGACATGATTGTCTAATACACACCAGCCACAGAACTCAATTTACATTGCATGTGGTAATAAATAACTAGCATTTTTAAGTTTCTTATTAGTGGCAGTGTTGATTCTATCTGGGAAACTGTAACTCTGAATATCCACTCTATAGATTAACTGAAGTTTAGAGAAGTTAAATTACTTTCCTAGTATAAAAAAAAATCTAGAAAATGGTATTTCTAATACATTTAGTTAGATATTTGGACTCACAGATACTCTCAGCAAGAGATTTCTGGAGAACAAAGAGAGGATTCCTTTGTTTTAGAGAGGAAGAAGCTGATTGAGGCTGGAGTAGGAGGGTGGGTTTCCTAAGATACCAGGGCTGACTAGGGCACAGCACACACATCTTCTACCTAACAGTATAGGACTCTTCCTTTAGTAGCCCTTCTCTTTAACTACCCTCTTACCAAAGGGGTTCCCTAAGACCATTAAACAGTAAGATGCAGGCAGGCAGCTGATTCCCAGGCAAGGACTCTGCTGAGTTTGCTGCACATGCAGGGTAGAAATCAACCCTTACTTCGAATGGACTCAGGTTCCAGTTCAGGGGAGCCAGTCTGTGGGGCGACAGGAGATTGAGAACTGTTCTTTTTTTCTCCATTGGCTGCACTGGCTGATGGAGAAACAGACTGGAAATCTGGATTTTCAGCATGAATGGTCAGTTTTACTGTTGTTTTTGCTGTCTTCAGAAGGCCAATAAACTGGCAGGATATTGGTGTGGAGGAAAAACAAAATTCAAAAACAAATTATCAGATTTACACAAATGCAAGTCACTATTATTACTGGACTATAATTCTACCTTTGAGAGAAGAGACAGAAGCAAATGATTCCTTGTCAGGACTTGAGAAGCTAGAAAAGAAATGGTTCTAGTTTTTCTCTAATTTCTCCAAATGCCTAATATTGATTAAAGAGTGGTTAATTTCCACTCTTAGTTCTGACCAGATTTATCCTTATATAAGTAGAGGGCTTTTCAACTTTCATATTTCAATTACTCTCATCCATTTTTCTGAATCCCTACAACCTTAGAACATATATGGAATATTTAACTCACTTCCTGATTATACAGAGAATCTAAAATAGTTTACACATGGACTTTTAGTAAAATGTTAAAAGCAAGATAGGAAAACCATGAATCAGAAAACTCAAGGCAAATAGAAAGTAAAAACATAAATTTATGGGCTAAAGGATCCAATTTATACAACCATAAAACTGAATTTTTTTAAAAAATGACTTTAAGCTTCTTGCTGGCCAATGTAGAAACAGAAACATACCCAGTTACATTGTTCTCCTTCACCATAAGGAAGAAAAAGATCTCAAGGTAAACAAAGCATTGCTTCTAGCACTTATACATAAATACCCTCAAATGAAACTCCAAATAAGTATTACGATCACTTTTGAAGAAAAAGCTCAGATAAACAGTACTGTTCAATTCTAATAACAGTAATATATTTAAGGGCTGAGTTTTAAAGTCTGTTTATAAAGCAATTTGTATAGTAGATAGTCTGGACAGTAAAAATTCATGAGAAAATGATTCCTTTGGTCCTAACATGAAGTTAGTCATTATTTAGGAGTTTCAAATTTCCCTATGACATTTATTAAAATTCCCTGAGAATACTGAATTTGCAATCAGGAAATAGTGAACATCTTAACATCAACTTGATTGGAAAACAGAAAATAGAAATTGAAGACCCTTAGTGAAACTCTTCTTTTTCTTTAAAATACCTTTTCAACTGGATAGCCAATAACAACTTCATCATCTACAGCCAAGATCTGATCTCCAACTTTGAGTCGTCCATCCTAAATGGAAATGTGAAAGATTATTAATGATTTTTCAAAAGTAATTCCCTTTTCCACCACTTTGTGACAGTGAGAAAGGTCAAGCCTAACCTTGGCTGCTACTCCCTGCTCTGTTAAACTCTTCACGATGACTCCACTGAGCGTATCTTCTTCACTGATGGCAATGCCCAGTCCACCTTGATCCTAGAAGTGAAAAGAACATGCAGGAGATTTGAAATAGATTAACCTTATACAAGAAAAGAAGAAGGTATGTATTTACAACGGCTAAAAATCTTCCACCAAGGGCTAACAAAGCAATTAAAAGTTCTTCTTAATTCTACTATTAGAAATCTACTATTATTTTTTTTAAAAGCAAACTTTGAAATTTCTAATGGGGAAAAAAATTCTCCTCTACTAAAATAGTCAAGTGATTTCATTCCTCTCCTATGTCCAACATCTTTAGAAACTTCAGCAAAATATGCTAACAGCAGAAATGCATTCCATAATTTAAACTAAAACATTCAACACTTGCAGATTTAGTCTTGTGTAACTGGCTGACTGAATAAATCACTCAAAACCCACCGAAGTACCCTGGCTTCCTCTCTTTTTCCTCTGGATCTGAGAAATAACAATCAATTCTGGCTCCTTCACTTTTTTCTGCCACCTTTCTTAATTTCAAAGAGAGATGCAATTAGTGCTATGTGCTCTGTCCTTTCTGGAATGGAGCACCCAGAATTGGTTCTCTAAAGAAGAGAGTTTTGATTTGCTGCAGAGTGACAATGCTTCTGAGTCCAAAGACATGCCCTGAAAACCTGCCAAGGCTGGAGAGCTACATGGTCTATATTTTCCACATTTTCTTTTATCAAAACCAAATGTTCAATAATAGTGGCCTTTACCTTTCTTTAATGTTTACTTTAATAAAATTAAAACAGAGTTTTGAATTTTCATTCTGGCCAGAGCTAATAACCTTTTGCATTATAGTTTTCATCCAGGAAAAATTCACAAAAAGTAAAATAGAGAAAAGGGAACTTGTGACAGTTTATCTGAAATATACACACATTAGCCCAACTTGCCTTCAGAGATACTTATGATCATGGCTCTGATATCAAGGTAAGGTTTCACCATCATTTTAAAGATGATCAACAATATAGTTTTTCTGAGGTAGACTCTTAATGCTGGGTGCATTTCAGACTGTCACAAGTATCTCTCTCCACCACCTCCCTCCACACAATTACTCATGTATGTGTAAGGAAGAGAAGACTACTCTAGCTTCTAATTTACCTTCTGCCTCACTGCAGAAATTCAGATATGCCACTTAACATCTCTAACCCTCAATTTTCTCACAGAGAAAAAAATCTAAATTTTCTTATAAAAAAATAATAGTAGTAACTGCCACTTAGGTAGAAAAGTACTTTATTGTATAATAGGCACTTGCTGATACTTTACAAAGGGTTGTCTAACATCCATTCCCATCTTACCCTTTTGTAAAAGCTAGCAGACCTTCATTAAAATACCCAGTCCATCCATCCACCCACTCCAACCATCCCTGACTACTGTCTCCCCTCCACCCTTCACCCCTCTCTTGCTGACTTCCGTCTTTCCTCTCCTCACTCCCTCTCTCTTCCCGCTAGTTTCAGGTGGTAGTTTATAACATAGACAGAAATTCTTTGATACTCCTCCCTTGAAGACAGTGAGTCTAAAAGTATGAGCTGGACTTAATGACTTGAGCCTAACAAAGAAAAGAGAATAGAAGTAATGGTGTACAATTTCACACACAAGTCCAAAGAGGCACCAGGGTGCTCCTTGCTTCTTCTCTAAGATTGCTTGTCCTGCACAAGACCCACTGCCACTTCAAGAGAATATCCAAACAACCCCATTGTGTTATTCAACTTTTTGCACTGTGGCCAAAATACCGACAAGAACAAGTTGGAGAAGGAAAAGTTTCTTTTGAGCTCACATTGTCAGAGGTTTCAGTTCATGAGTGGCCAACTCCATTGCTCTGAGCCCACCGTGAGGCACAGAATCATGGCAGAAGAGTGTAGCAGAGGAAAATAATTCAGGATACAGCAGCCAGGAAACAGAAAGAGAGACGACTGGACCACAGGAAAGATGAACCATTCTGGGACACACCCTCAGTAACCTAAGTCCTCTAGCCATGCCCCATCTGCCTATAATTACCATCAGGTTAGTCCAATTCGTCCATAAAAACCAGAAGGGACTGGTTATGTTATGGCTCTTATAATCCAATCATTTCAACTCTGAATATGCCTGCATTAACATAGGAGCTTTTGAAGGATATTCAAACTACAACATCCATGAAGAAATAAGGAAATAAATCCTCTTGCTAACAGTCATTCAAGGAAATCACATTAGAAGTGATGCACAGCCCCAAACCTTCAGACAACTGCAGCATTACCCGGCAATCACACAAGAAATTCTAACCCAGAACACCAGTTTCGATCTCAAATTTTGGACCCACAGAAACTGTGAGACAGCAAGTGCCTTTTGTTTAAAGTTTGTTAAGTTTTGTAGCAATTCCTTTGGTAGCAAAGTGTAAGTAGCTCCAAGGACAGGGTTTGAACGACTTATTTGTATAATTTTATTCCCATGGCCACTGTTGCTGTCAGAAGGGTAAACATATGAACTAGACTGGTTCATTTAGGATGAATTTTGGCTCTTTTGCTCAGAATACTGGAGCAGTCATTCTTCTCCCCATTTAACCAACCATATGTAAAGAGGTTGTACACATCCCTAACTGTGGTTGCCAGTCACACTAACACTACAAGGAAGACTGACCTTGGCATCAAGCTGCCACTGCGCATGGCTGTGCAGAGAGAGAGAGAGAGAGAGAGAGAGAGAGATCTTGCCCTTGAACCACTGAGCCCAGTACCAACTATCTTTGAAGACTGTTTGTTAACCAATTACTTGAGTTCATAAATCCTGTTTTTTGATTAAGACTGATGGAGAAAGCTTTTGTGGTGATTATTACTATTTGCAACAGAGGGAGTCCTAAAACGAACAATAAGTCACACATCTGCATGTATACTATGTCCAAACCAACTTAGTATACTACAAAAATAATGAAGCATATACACATCTAAAATTTATTGGTGTCAGGAAAAAAAATGCAAGGCAGTATGGTAGGGTGTGAGTATGCAATTTCTTAAATAACTGCTCAACTTTCCAAATTACTTCTCCCAGAATGGTGTGTGTGTGTGTGTGTGTGTGTGTGTGTGTGTGTGTGTGAACACAAATACATAAGCATATATATTCCTTAGCAATAAAAGACCTGAGATAAAAGTTCTGAGCTAGTTATTAAAATACTATTCTACTTGCACATATGATTATATGATCAATATAACGCCACATCATATACAACAAGAAGAATGAGAAGTTATACTCCATATATGTATGTCAAAATACATTCTACTGACATGTATAACTAACAAAAACAAATAAAATAATAAAAATACTACCAAACAGTGTATTTATGAAGAAAAACTATATAAACTAAATAGCTAGAAAAGAATTAAAATAATAATTAAAAGTGGGATAAAGCTAAACTATTGTTATTATTAGAGGATTATATGGAAGGTGAAAGATTTTCTAAAATTCAAAAGAAAAACTTAACTTAATGGCATTTGGAGGTTTTCACCACACACACACACACACACACACACACACACACACACACGTATGAATATGAAAACATCTCTGACAATCTTAGAAGGTTACTACCTCCTTTGATGTAGAGTACATTTTTGGAATAAACTGTGATAAAAATAAATCTTTAATAAAATATGTTTTCTGATAAATTGAATTAGCATATCACTAATAATTTAGATTATATATGAGAACTTTTTGTTTGAACTTCCATTTTACTATTTTTTCAAAAAGTAAAAGGATAAAAAGATAATAAATTTGTTGAGAGAATTTCTGAAACAGAACTAGAAACAACTATTACTATAACTGCAATTTTTAGATGATGCAAAAATCTTCTCTTTCTGACTCTCCTGATCTCAGTATTTCCTCCCTGTTGCAAGAGTAGCATTCACTCATTCTTCAATACACCCATCCCTCTTACTCAGTGTGAGCTATGGTCTAGGAGAGAAAGTATGAAAGTTTCTTCTCTCAACATGTGTGCATTTGGGATGTATAGAAAAGACACCACATGGAAGCTTTCCACAAAAGACCCGCTCTTGGGCCATACATGATTAAGGGACATACACAGAGACATTAATAGTAAGCATTAGATATGTCAGAATATTGAAAGATTTCATTTAATTTAATTGATTATTTATTTTTTATTTGTTCTAATTAGTTATACATTGAAAGATTATTTTAAAAGGAGAGGTGAGGCTTAAGCTGGGTCTTCAGTATATGTAGGATTTAGACAAGGAGAAAAAAAGCAGAAGGACAGTCCAAATGATATAAACAAAAGCAAGGAAGAATAAATTCTTAAATTTTTCTCCATGAGTTCTTCATTTAAATTAGTATGACTTACATAGAGGATTCCTATAAGGAATCCACAGGGTAGATGGGACAACACTACCAATTTAAATGGTTTAAAAAAAAAAAATCAGATCTGGAGGTAGTATACCAGAGGTTAAGTATAACAGCAAACCCACAGGGTTGCAAAGGAGTGACAATGAACATGTGACATTACCTCTGAAGTATGTTTTCAAATAATTAAGCATTAAAAATATACAGGATAGCAGATATGATAAAGAATTTCAGATGAGGCATGTGTGTTAGAAGGCTGGTTAAGTCTCCCATCTGCTTAACTGAGTTTTATTTCCATGTCATTTCATAATAAAGTTAAAGAGTTTAGGATTAGTGTGACTGTTCACTTGACATCATTTTTAGCAATGTTTCCTCAGAGGAAGTATTCAAGGACACATTCTGTGGGCTACTCTGAACCTCATGGTTTAAAAATAATTATAATAGCTTCCATTGTGGTAAATGTTTTATGTACATTTTTCATTTAATCCTTACAACAGTATCCCTAATACAAAAAATATTTTCTTCATCTTACAGATAAGGAAAGTGAGGCACAAAGAAGTTAAATTGCTTGAATATACCCCAGAGAGCTTAAGTAACTACAAAACCCACACTTTAAGTCATTAAAAATCATGATTAACTGCTTCTATGTAGTTGATTTTTTAAAAGTCATGAATATTTCCCTTACTTTGGTTTCTATCAATAAATATTCCAGAGACCTGAAACTTGGATCTATCTAAAATCTACATATAAATGGAAGCTTTCTGTGGGCAAAACACTGATGTTTTCAAAGGTCCTGAATTCTTTAATATACAGCAACTAATTCAGACAGGCATGTGCACATTATCAACAGACATCCATGAATACATCATCAGCAAGAGGCTAAGGCAGAGCCCAAGTTTATATTTTGCAATGAAGGACTCTTGCTCATTATCTCATCTACTCTCACAATAACTTTATGATATGGGTGGCTGTATTTACAGAAGAAAAAAGTGAGGACAAATGTGATTAAGTGATTTGTCTTAGATCACATAATATGTGAGAGGATTTCTGACAGATTAGGTTTCTGTCTCTCTCGCTGCTAGGCTAAATGCTAGGCCAAAAAATTTCAGTTTATCAGTTGGACAATGGATGTTGCTGAAAAGTTCTGAGCAGGGGACTGATGGAATACATCAAACAGGTGGCCTAATTCAAAAAAAGAAAGCATCAGAGAAAACCAATGTCAAGAAGCAGTGCGACCTCTCTTGGCCATTTGATTCTTTCCTAATAATTATAATGATAATAATAAAAGGCAACACTTTTACATGTGTGTCAGGTTCTAGACACTATATATAAATATGTATATATTTAATTTTCACAATATATATACTTAATTCTCAATTTAACCCTATAAGGTAAATACAATTATTATTCCCATTTTGGAGAGGAGAAACCATGTACAGATTAAGAACTATGACCTAGATCAAAGTATCACTAAGTGGTGAATCCAGAGCTCTAATACAGGTGACCTGGCTTTATGTTTGTGCTTCCAACCACAACAGCATTCTGCTCCTCATTTATCTAACAAGTTCATTCCACCAATAGTTCCTGGGTACTCATTATACAATAACAGTATATACTAAGCTTTAGGTTAATAAATTAGAATCAATGCCATGGAAAAATATATGTAATACAAATCTTATTTTAGACTTTTCAAGAGATAAACATAAACCAAAATTAGAAAATCATTATAAATAATTCAGCATACGTTCAAATGTTTCATAATTAATAGTAGGTAAATTATCGCACTAGTTAAATACTATAAACTCATGATTTCAGGATTTTAAGAAAACTAAGCCCTGAAATCAGTATGAGATTGGAAAAAAATCCCCCTTCAATGGCAACAGAATGAGGAATCCTTATTGCACTGTATGGACAAAGGCTTTAAAGACATCGCTTCTTTTCCCTCCAAATAAAACAAGATGATCCACACAATAAAAAATTCCCTTATACCTTTATTATAAGACAAGAGCAACCCATTTTTCTGCCAGGTTATTGCATTATAAAAACAAAACCAAATCAATATAGTCATTTTTCAAACATAATCTGACTAGGTGCCATGGATTATGCTATTTTATAAGCAACTCATTTATTCGTTACATTAACCTAAGATAAAGGTACTATTATCATCTTCAACTTCAAGGGGAGGAAACTGAGGCAAAGAAAGATCATAAAATATGTAAAGTATATAACTAATGAAGCAAGGGTTCAACTCGAACAGAATGAATCTGAAGCCCAGGTCCCAAGCATCATGCTATATAGCTCTCGGCTGGAGAGCAGTGTATGTACCACTCCACTTCTATCTGTAAGGTAGCATTTCCTGTAAACAACCTGCTCTCCCAGTCTACCTCTTTCTTCCCACTAAGTTCCTCACTGCTCTTTCTGCTTATCCTCTAGTTCACCTGCTGCACATTTGCTTTCCAGCATGAGCCTGCAGCTCCTGAAAGCATTCATAGGTTTCTGCTCAACAAACCTCTTTTGAAAAGTAGATCCTAGTCATTGAACTATTTGAAAGCAAATATTTTACTGATGCCTATCAGCAAAAATTCTACCTATTTGAGCATTCAAGTTTTATAAAGGACAAAGACTACATAACTTCTATTTCTTCATTTTTATATCCCCCCAGTAGAACCTTAGTAAATGAATCAAATGAGAGATCAAGAATTTCATACCTTGGAATAAAGTATTAATAAATAGTGGTTCTCAATTTTTATTGGGTATTAGAATCACCATGAAGGATTATTAAAATACATATGACCCTGTGTTTATTCTGGCCCACCCCTAGTGTTTCTCATTCAGCAAGTAGCCTGGGTGGGCCAGAGCATCTGCACTTCCAAGTGATGCCGATGCTGCTGGTCTGGAGACAACACTTTTGAGAATCAGTGAATTGGAACACAGATATGAGGGCCATCACATCATTTCATTCCCATTCAAAGCAGACTTACCTTGGGAAGCTCCAGATGGTGCACATTTTTAAATGAACTGAGGTCCACAACTGTATCAGAAATAGCAACATTTGGTTCCACCTGACAGAAAAAGAAATGGCAAAAAAGGCAACTAAATGTTACACATTTTTTTTTAATATAAGGGATCTTGGTCAAAATTATCTCATATATTACAATTCATTATTACTATTTTAACATCTTATGGAATTTATGAACATTCTATTCTCTTAAAGTACTTAGGAGATGTAACTGATCAGCAACTGCTCTGGCACACAGAATGACTGTGTGGCTCCAGAGTCTGCGGACATCTAACAGTAGCTCAGCCATCCCAAGTAGAACTCATAGACACTCAGAGCACCAAGAGGGCACCACTCACTATTCTTCCTGCCTTAGTTATCATGTGAATTTAGATATTATTAAATGTTTTACCTGAGAATTAATGAAACACTCCTTCTTCTTAAGGAACATATTTAGTACTATTAATATGAAAATAAAAATTTCCCCTCTATAACCATCTTAAGTAATGATGAGACTCAGTTCAACATCAAGAGCAGCTAGGATACATCATTTATCCTATGTACAAATAAGCCCCCTGGTTATATATTCATTCAGAGAAGAGGGTTTCCGTTCCCCTACCTTCTCCCACTGATAATCACCAAGGTTCCTCCAATTTTTAGCATTTCACTTTCTATTACCTCCTTTAATTCATCTTACATATATATTCAAAACTTTCCCAAATCAAAACAAAATTACCAATAAAAAGATTTTTGAACACTTTGTTACCCTCTAGCCACTGTCCTCTCTCCTCAATCTGTTTGTCATTATTTGCTTTTTCCTTTCCTCACTGCTTTCCCAATAATCTCCAAAGTTAGCAAATCCAAGGCACTTTCTGTCATGTTCTTACTGGGCGCCTCTGCAGCATCCAAGGTTTTGAAACGTGCCCTTCTCCTTGAAACATGCCTCCTCAGTGCTGTGCAACATGCCCTTCTAGTTCTTTTTCCTTCTCCCTGACCTCCCTGTTCAGCCTTTCTCCTTTTTGTTCATATTACACGAGTCTGCCTTTGGCCTTCTGTACTCTAACATTCTCTATAGGCAAGTGCTTCGTCCTCCTGGTCCACAAATACCAAATTTGTATCTATGGGGATTCATCTGTAAACTCTAGACCAATGTCCTAAGGTACACTTCTATATGACTTCCCAACAGGCACTGAATTTTTAAGCTGCTTCCAATAGAATGTGGATAGTTTGGCAAATATATACTCCTTTTTTCTTTATTTTCTATTTTTGACAATTCAAGCCTCACCAAGTCAGATATCAAATCAGATATCTGAAAGCCTTATACATCCTTTTATTCACCAGCATATACCCAGCCCAATGAGGCAGAATACTCAGAAAATATTTATTGGATAAATATCCAGTCACTTTTTTTGTTCAAGTTCCAATATTTGTTTGAGTTCCATACTTTCTCACAAAGTCAGCCTACAGTATTCTGTCAGGATGCTCACCATGATCTGGCCCTGTGTCCTTTATCAGGCTCTTTTCCTCACCACTCCCCATTCTCTGCCCTACACTGCTCAGTAATGCTCTGCAGTTTTCAATTTCTGGCATGAGCCCGTGCTTCCATGCCATTCCTTACTTCATGCCCTCTGTCTGCAATGTTTTTGCACCCAAATCTTGCAACATACACTTCAAGAGTAACTCCTCTATAAAGTTTTATTCTCACTCTCTTCCTAGAAGCAGAATTGACACCTCTTCTCTGGCTCACACTGCTGGCTATGTAGATTCTACTGGTAGCCTTCACATGAGTAGTGTGCTTATTTACATGAGTATCCACATTTAGTAAGCCATAAACACAATGTACTAGGTTACAATTCACACATAAACTCATTATATGAAGCTATAATGCATGTATCTTTGATAATGCAGTGCATTTTCTATAATTGTTAGCTGAGTTAATAAGAGGGCATATCAATCAAATCTTTCCAGAGAAACAAACACAAGTTCCAAATAATACCTCCTTATTTTGAAGATTCTCTGAGGTAGAAGACAAAGATTCTACTGTATTTCCAGGACATACAGCCATCTGACTCACTGCCTCTTTATTTCTAAAAGGAAAAAAGAATCAGCCTATTATATCCCCATAATGATATTATTTTCATTTTCTTACTTGAAGTCAGATTATTAGAAAAAATTCTCTAACCATAAAGACTTGGAACTACAACAGTCAAACATATATGTTTTACTTTCATTCAAAAGAACTCCGGGTTGAAATTCCCCCCCCTCCCAAAAAAAAAAGTTTAGTAAACCAGCAAAAGAAAATGCTCACCTGATAAAAATTATTTTTACTTTAGAAGGGGCACATTTAATTATTGATGAGGCATTTTGATGACTTCTTCCATATAAAATTTGACCATTGATCTATGAAAAATAAGCATCATTAGTTAAGTCTCAAATTTCAATTTCATAAGATTTTATCGTCTTATCTAGCTAATAAAAAGCACATTTCTTTCTTTCTTCAAAATATTACATGGTTTTTCCTCCATAGAACATACACATGACTTTGGATGGTGAATAAAGAAAAGCTCATGGTTAAAACCAACATTCAAGTAATAGGCAAGAAATCTGATATCCATTGATTGCTGGTAGAAGCACCATTTGGAACAAATGAAGGAGAGTAGATAGCTAATTCCTGGCAGGCACTGGGATTCCAATATGCTCTATAAAGCAAGGGCCCTGTGACTTGCAAACAACATTCTGGTAAGCCTCCTCACTGTTGTGTGTTCCAGTTGGTCCCAAGACTCAAGTCCTGGGAATAGGTCTCTGAGAAAAGCGAATCTAGGGAGATTCAAGATATAGGCTACAGATTGTGCCTAAGCTTCTTGTCATCTAATTGTTTACCTAGTGCTGCATGAGCTTACTAAGCCAATAGGGAAACACATTAAGCAAAAGTAATTGTAGAAAGGCTGAACAAAGACACCTGGGTCCTGCCTTTAGGCAACAAGGCAAACAACACAAGCAAATAAAATTCTAAATGCTATAAAGTATGCTCCACAAATTTATTTTGTTTGGCAGGCTGAGTTACTGTTTTCATTCTTTAGCCTTAACCTTGGCCCCTGCCTCATCTCACCCCATCACTTCTCCCATTAGGGATTCAACTTCCAGAATGTCCAGTGGGTCAGTGTCATTACTGGGGAATGATTATATGGCTTTTCAAAAACTCCTAATAAAAATGCAATGCACACACACACAAAAAAATGTTTTTGAAGTGTGATTTTTATTACTGTCTTGGGGCAAAGATTGTTTCTGGTGCTACACAGTCATGACCTTTTGATGGAAGTTAATAGGAACACAGACTCTACTGAGTAGAGATTTGGTTTACAGCCAAATTTGCTGCAATGCATCTGTTTTATTAGGCCGGTGATAGTTTTCTCAGTCACCATGAGGTATGGGTGATTTTATGGAAAGAGAAGATTACATTGCTCTTATACAGCAAGAGTACATTCAAAGTTGTCTACCAGAACTTACCTCTAGAAGTTCATCTGCAATCTGTAGTCGACCATCTCTCCCTGCTGCTCCATTTGGATCAATCCCCACTATAAAGACACTCATTCTGGTTCGGTCTTTGTTCCCAGCAAGACTTAGACCCAAACCACTACGACCTTTTTCCAGCTCAATCATATGCAGCTCTCCTGTTAGGGTTCCATAACGCTCTCTAATATTTTCTGCATACAACAACAACACCATATGTATTTAAAGTTAATTCACATAATTCTTAGTAATGCTTTACTATGGAAGGTTATTTGCTCTCATCACAAGAGGGAATTATTTGAATCAAAATGTAAAAAGCTAAATAGATGGGCTGCCTGGACATCAGAACTGGTTTCCTGAAGTACTCAAACTTTGAAGAATTTATTTGGATGAAGTGTACAAAGAACATAATGTCTGATTAATCAGTTCACCTCAGGCCTAAGAGAAATGATTCACATTTACAAACTCTCAAAAGCACAATTAAGCCTGAAATTTACTTTATTATTTGGAGAGCCGAAAAGTACTAATGCATCCAGAACAATTGTGTTGACTAATCAGTGGGAGCTTCTCTTCCACAGGAAAATCTACACTCTATATTACATTATATATTACATCACGTTGGGCAGTTGCTCAGTGTGCACAACCAGAATGAAAGAAATGGGTTATCTTATTACACAGAGCCATTAGGCCAGAACAAATTGACTACACTTGCCTCAGCCTTGAGACAGGTCCTAATTAGGTGAGACCATTTATATCTCCCACTCTACATCTTTAAGAGATGGAATTTATTTTCTGCCCCCTTTAATCTAAGAGGACAGGGCCACACTTAGGTCCTGCAAGGTCCAGATTAGTGACCAGTCAGTAGCCAGTACTAACAGCCAAATGCACAAGTGAGTCTTCTTGGAAGTCTAGCCCCGCAGAACCCAGTTAATCTCCATACTACAGATTAATAATACATTTTCGTTTAAGTCATTAAATTTTAGAGTGGTGTGATAATAGAAAACTGAAACATTCTGGTACATATTTTTCCCTGAGTACATTCTTGGTACTGTGGCTTTCTTAAATAAGGGAATTAGTAGATATTTTTAAAAATGAAACTTTTTAACAAAATGACACATTCATAACTTTTGGATGAACTTTTAATCTTTCTCTGCAAAATTTTCTTAAAAAAGAGAGATACCCCATGGATCCTAATACATCTGACTTTGAAAAAATGCTCATCAAATCTCCAAAGTTTTGATCTCAACAATTATACTATGTTACAACCTACTACAAAAAGTACCAGAAATTCAGAGTATAATATCAACAGCTGCCAGATTTTACAGTGAGGAATCTGAGACCTAATGAAGTATAATGTTGGTTCAAGATCTCAGGGTGGGGTGATGTGGCATATCCTGTCCTAATTCTCATATGAGGAGCAAAGGGATTTTGGGAATGCACATTTAAAGGAAAGGAAGAACATGACTTCATGCCTCAAGAATGTATGTTGTATTCAAGAAAAGCAAACAACACATTTTTTTTTTTGACTAAGAACTGCAATGTCTATCATAAAGCCAAAACATACTTGTTCATACAAGGCATAAGTCTTCAGGAAAAAAAAGCTTTTTAGTACCTCTTATAATTAAATGCATCACAAATGACAACTTACTCCAGCTGTAACCAAACTCATCCTCTTTGTCCACATCTTCTGAGATTTTGGTTTCAGATGACTGTGCATAATCACTGCCCATTTCTGCAAATGCTGAAGGAGAGGGTGGAGGAGCCTCACACAATGGAGCCTTCTCTGGCTCTGACTCTGACTGACTGGGTGCCTGTGGGAACAAGAAGAATGCAGTGGGTATGTGCAGTCTGAGGAAGAAAACCTTAAGGAAAAGACATAAGTATAATGTCAAAACAAAAATGGCCTTAAAATATCCACCAAATAATGAAAAGCTCAAATATACATTTATTAAATGTTAGAGAGGATTCAGGTAATGTTTAAATATACAGAAAAAAATAATTTCAGTAAACTGTTATTTGCTATTATAAGCGAATGAATTCAATTTGAAGGCTTAAATGACCTAAGATAGAAAATTATACAAACTTTCCCTGTTGAAAAATACATTCTCATTCAACAGTTATCATAAATATTCAAGGATCTGCGCAAGTTTGTGGAGGTCTAAAAAAGTCTGCCAAGAAACAAAGAAGAAAAAAGAAAAAAAATTAACGAAGATGTTGTCCTTTAAATCTTGTTAGCTAGAGTATACAGAACAAATTCTTTATTAATACCTGAATCCTCTCTTCAAAGGGCCCTCAAGAAATCCATGAAAAACAGCATTCCACATGCAGGTTCCTCTACCAGAGTACCAGTCGATGTTAGCATATAGGACAGGGACTCATATCTGAGGAATGTGATTTTAAGGGATAGCACTGTATTTCTCTTGCCAAAATAGCTTAGGCAAAAACGAAAACAGAGTACTTCATAAAAAGTCCACATGTGGCATACTTACTGTCACTTAGGACCATTGGTCCTATCAAAAGAAATGGGGTTTGGTATGATCTGGTTCTTAAATTAGAGATTACCAAACAGAATGTAAGAGTTTGAATTGTCTTTGAGCCACTGAATTCACTTTATTCATTTGTAAGATAAATAATCCTTTTGAAACTGAGGCCGAGAGAAGAGAAAAATTTTGTTCAAAGTTACACAGTCCTAACTAGACGTCCTTTTGCTTAATTCTTGATCCAATGTACTTTGTATTATACTATGCTGTCTCCTCCAATTTCTATGGTAAGGCAGTGCCTGACTCAAGCGTCAGAAAAACCTGACTAAACTGCTAGTCCTTATAAGACCCTGTCGCTGATGTCTTCAATCTGTATTTTTTTTAAACTCTTCTTTCCTGTATTTTTTTCTGCATAAAAAAAAATTTTTTTTCTTTTATAGGTGTAATTTAGGAAACCATGTTTTTCTTTTCTTAAACCTACTTCTAATAAGAACACACCAAATGTACAAACACTTAGGAATTATTAATGGGTCCATGACTCAGGATACCATAAAATATACCTAACACTACATGACACTGAATAAGGTCTTTCTTCAATGACTCAAAAAGCATTCATTTTTCTGGAGAGGTCTGGTTTATAGAAACTTTGGGGCAATTTTTTTTTGTTTGTTATATAATTTGCTATATACAACAATCAGTCAACACATCATTGGCCAAACAGATAAAAATTACTAGTACAAATGAAATCCCCTGTTATATTCCCAAGATCTCTGCCATAAATCTTTCAAATTAATAATGTACAAATGAAAATGAGCAAACAAAAGATCATTTGATCTGCTCATTTAAAAATATTACTAAAGTAGAGAGAGATGTACTTCAGAATTTTTTCTAGTTTCAAACAACATTTATTTCTACGTAACAACAGAAAGTTGTTATTTAGCAAGCATACATTAAGTCCATTTCATTTTTAAAAAGTGAAACAATCTATTTGAACATCCCATAATTTAACAAATCCATGGATATACATTTTATTTGCTGTATAATTTTTGACTGTTATTTTGCTTAAGAACAAAGAAACAAAATTTGTTTATCTGTAGAATCCTTCAGGATCTTAGGTACAACATACTCCTAACTGTGAGTAAACTAAAATGGTACTCTAACCTTACTAATGAATCAGAAAACTAATGCTACCTGCATTGACTTGAGGGACAATTAGAAGTCTTCTATTTTATCACCCCTAACACCCTTGTTTTACCAAGATCATATAATCAATTTGTTAGTGACACTTCTTAAAATTTATTTGGGAAAATATTGGTCTTTAACAAAGATCATTTATCCTTCTTTGGCAAAAAGGCCAAGTGCAGTTGCAATCATTCCATGCCACTAAGTAAAACACACATGTACTGCACACTGTAACACACCTACTTACACAAAATTTCACTCTGAGACAAACCTTAAATGGTGTGGGAGCAAAAGGGTTAGTTGGGGAACAATGGAAGATAACTCTACTTGAATTCTGTAATTCCTATAGTAACAGAAAACATATTCGTTCAGATACAGCATCTTTGCTTATCCATATCACAAAAACATGAAGATCTGATGAATATTCATAAAATGTTTCCTTAAAAAATTGTTGACAGCTTTCTTCATTCCCATGATTAAATTATGGTATATAAATTCTTGTAAATTTTTGTTTCAATTTTGGTGTTATAATTTCATCAGAATATGAGAATATTCAAGGACAGATTTAGGAGCATAGAAAGAGCTATGTTTCCTGATGGAGGATTTTATATGGATGCACTTTAAGAATATTCAGCAGACTCCTGCACATTCACGTACACAATTATTTGCAGTGATTAACTTAAGGAAGAGCTTTCATGACCATCTTATTAAAGTCTGAAAAAGTTTTAAACATATACAAGGCTTTAAAGAAATTACGTGTGAGAGTAGTGATACCTTTTGATAACTAATAAAAATTAAAGTGTCAGAAAATTTAAATCTACCAAACTTCAGGAAAAACACTGGACTCATGATCTCCCTTCCTTTCAGAAGGGCCATTTAACTTCCACTATAAAAATAAACATTCTGTGGCAGGACAGTGCACTTAAGAAAGGATTTGCATGCCCACTCCAAACACAACAGTTGTTTGTTTTCCACAACATATATAATAAACGGTGAGGTGGGACAAGGCACAGTAGTAACAAAGAACAAAACATTTTCAAAAGGCAATGTCAAGACAATGGGCATTATCCAACCTTGTCAGCGTTGAACTGGAGAGAGTCAGCAAATGGGTTAGTGCTGCTGAAGTTGTACTTAGGGTAAAGGTTGTGCGGCAAGGAAGGCAAAAGGGATTTCTAAAAGGAAACATAAGAGGCGCTGAGCGCAAAGGAACGTATTTAAAACAACTCAACTTTAAGAATAAAGTACTTACTGACTTAAAAGAGTTGTCTAAGTGATACTAGATTCTGTGTATTTGGTACATAATTAATAGCATCATCTTCTTTGACAGTCTGTTACTAAAGCTTTTCTTCTAATGACCTGAATCATTTAAACCTGAGTTTAAATCAGTCAACAAACCTCACAGGAAACTAGGTTGAAAGGGACCCCAAATGTCTTTTATTTCCACTGAATGGCTGTACCATCCTAAGTAAGGCACATTTGCCCATTTTATGTTTTATGTTTCATGCCTATCAGTAAATACGTTACATATTTAAAACCACCCAAGTTTTTTTTTAATTTACATTTAAAAGCTAGTTGTGTTATTTTTAATAGTCTGTCTGTTCAAGAATGCAAATTAAACATTTGTCTGTTGGTCCTTCAGTAACCTTTATTATTCCTTACTCTGTTTTCTGCTAAGGAAACTTCCATGCCTAGACTAGATATTAAGGCTGCTCCAAAGCAATCATACTCTTTAATTTAAAAACATGAAGAAATGAACCCCTCTACAATGGAGTTCTCTATTTCTGCCTGCTTTTTTGGAGTTGAGAATATGGAGTTTCATATATTTTTAAGTTTCTATAAAACTTCCCACATTATCAGGGAATTTATGGGCTTTGGATAATATTTGAAGTCCTGTCTTGAGTATTTCTCACAGGTTTTGTAGCTTGCCTGTATGTAATTCGCCTGGAGCCAGGAGTCTTTTAGAGTTGAATATACATATTAAAGGCAGGATGCCTGCCAGATAGGATTTAGCATTTCCATAGTTAGGATAAAAAAAAAAAAAAAGAAAAAAGAAAAGTAATTTCCTTAGCACAATAAGTTATTCTCCTTCTTTTCACAACCACTATCTTTTTCTTTTATTGACTATATCATTCAGGGGAGATTGAAGACATTTAAAATTCATTTTGGCTCCAATTACATGTTTGTGTTACTTTTCTCTATAAAAAAAAAAGCCCCACTGGCAGGCATGGAGTGTAGAGAGGTTGTCATGTGACACCACCCTGTATGGGAGAACACTCTGGAAAGACGCTATCTTCAGTGTGCCTGTACCAAAGCTTATGCCACATTACCCTTTCAATCTGCTCTTCTTGCAATGTTTTTCCTACAGAGGCAAGACAGGAAAAAGATATGGGCACAATGACATTTATGCTCATCTCAACTTCCTCCCTACTTTTCAGTTTAAAATGTCAACTCCTGCTTTACAAAAGAGAAGATCATAAATGCCAAGGAACATGACCACTTATTAAGGTGAAAGAAATGACTGGGCAGACATGAAAGACATATCCTAGATAAAACAGTTTAATGCTATGGAGGATAAAGATGATTAATTTTCATCCATCATATATTTATGTTTTAATTATGTAGAACAACAGAAAACAAAACCATTATAGCATGAAATGAAATATTTAAAGGCAGCTCTAGTTTTTTTGTTTTTTTTTTAATTTGAAGATCTTATAGGATTAGAATTTGGCCCTGATAGCAGAACGTAAATAAATGTACAGCAGGAGAGCAGCAGATGAAATATAGGACACTATATTATTAGGGAAAGATATATAGAAAAATGACTTTTTGCTTAAAAAAAAATCAATGATACCTTCTATTCATAGTCTCAAAGGCTGATAAAAGCAGAAACATTATTAATGGAGAAGAAGCAAAGAGAACACAAAAACATTCTCTAGCTGGAATTAATAGAGCCCCTCTTCAATCAAGACAATGGACCAGAGTGAACTCTGAAGCATCTCACATGTAACATTATCAGACAGACTGAGAAGTTCACATTCTTGAACAGGCTAAAGGCCAAAGAGATAAACTGGCTTTTTAGCCTACTAGCTTTTCAATCTATGTATAAGATTTCCTAGGAAACTTCATCTTCCATCTGCAAATAAATAAACATTTACCACTAAGAAACTCACATGTGTGCATTGTGGGTTTTTTTTTTTTTTTTGCTTTAGATTACTGGAGACATGATTATTTCCATAGGGAAGTAAATCAATGGAAGCAAAGTATACCTCATTTAAAATGCAAAAGTTATTCTAATTTCATGAAGCAAAATATGCGTAACTTGACTAAACACATCATTTAAAAAAAGATTTTTCATGGAATAATTACAATAAAATTAGGCATCATTATACCTCAGCTAATAAAATAGAAATATCTTTAAGTTATATGAGACAATATCCCTTTAGCTCACTAGACTGCAATTGAAAGAAATGTTTTTAGTTTAAGTTTTTAAAGTAATATTAAGAATAACTATTCTCCATTAAATAGTAGTGTCTCAAATGAGATAAAAATTAGAAATTAAAAAAATTAAGACAAAAAAGAAGAAAACCCACCCACCCACCCAAGAAATAGCTAAACTTAACTTAAACAGCCATTTACCAACATTATCATGCTGTGTTTATGTTTAACACAACAAATTGAAACAAATGTATAAAGATTTGTAGTTATTTAAACAAACTGAATAGCATTTGTAAAGAATGCAGCAAGATGCAGCCCTACCATTTGGCAGATTTCCTATCTGAATAGATAATTATTACCTAACAATAAACAACTGAATGATTAAAAACTGCAGATGTGAATATAATTGCATACATTAAGAACTACTGAATTTGTTCCTTATAGTGAACCCAGAACAGAGTTACACCTGCCTAAAGGACAAAAGGAAGACCAGTAAGACCAACCTGGTCACTCTGTACTCCATGGCATACAATGCTGATGCTACTTTTACTGGTTTCACACACAGGGCTGTTTACTAATTTCCATCCATTATTTGAGCATTTATATCTTAAATGTATAATTTTATAATTTATAACTCAATATATCTTGCCTTTAACTTCCCTCATATATGTTGATATTTTTCTTTTAAAGATAACCAACTCTAAAAACTGTAAGCAGATAATTCCAAGGGAATTAGTATGAGAAGGGTTGTTAAATTAAATCCAGAAATGGAGTCCCTAAGAGCTTCAGGAGATTTATGAAACTCCAGAAATGGTATAAAAACTTATGAACGAGTGGGTATGTTGTGAAGAACTTTCTCAGGGGTATGTGACACAAATATATTTAATAACTGCTATATATGAAATTTTTTTTCAATGAGACATAAAGAAGGAATATGAAGAACAATTTTAAACTCAGCATAATTTTCACATTGAGCATCATTAGAACTTATATAAAATATAAGAAGCCTCATTTTGAATCTTTTCCATCAATAATGTTCATTCATGTACTTATATTTTCTAAAACATATTTTAAAGCTCTTTTACTTGTGATGACTGAAGGTAAACTGGGTTAACAGATTCTGCCCATCATAAGCCATATAATGACAAGTTATATATGATGATTGTGGCTAGAAACAGCAATCATGAACTCTTGTAGATAAAAAAATATATATATATCCTCATTATTGAAATCTTGTCCAGTGGGATGCAGACACATCAAAGACAGGAAACCGTAGTATAGAGAATATGTTTAAAGAAAACATAATTCTTTCCTGCTCCTCAGTTTCTCCGTATTAAACTGAGTGCACCACATTCTGTTCAATAGCTTGTATAATTTGTGTCCATAATGAATAAAAATAGTTAACCATCGAGAAACCTATGGTCACCAGTAAAACCTACTTCTGAGAGTTTTCAATAGACTTCAAGCCTTTATTAAACATAGTTGAAGGGATGTTCAGGAAACTCAATATTTAAAAAACAAAAGAAACTTTCAGTAAGTCTTTGAAACTTCAAGAATCCATATCTGCTCATACAGACAACTTGGCAGTTGCTACATTAGACTCCAAGTTGAGCTCTGTTTGGAGACTCCTACCTTGCCCTCTGTGTTTGCTTACCCTTGGTCTGTTTATAATGCTCTGTACCATAAAGACTACGGGATTGCCTGCTTTCCGAATGGCTTCCACAGCTTGTTCATGGCTTGCATCTCTGAGGTCCATTCCATCCACCTGCAATGGAAGGCCTCAGCTTAACATTTCAAGAAGCTACAGGACAAAAGAACAATTTGTGGATCTCCAGTTTTGAGGATCCTTGGCTAGGCTCCTGGAATATCTGGTTCAGTATCAAAAATAATTAAGACTACTTGTGAGACTGCAAATGTTTCATCTGTTCATCAGACTTGTGGGCCCCTGTTTTGGACACAGGTTTCTGACTCCGATCGTTAACTGAAATACTAAGCAACTGGAATGAAAGCTTGATTTCTGCATTCCTTACACTGCTCAGTTGTTCTTTAAGTCAGCATCATTAAATAAATAATATGAGGTAACTACCTAACAGCATTGTTTTCATCATAAAAGTCATTGTACTGAATTTTTCCTAATTCAATATAGAATGGGATTTGGGAAGTAGGTAGGTAATGCTTTGTTTATTTCTCTCTGTACAAGAAGTTGAAGTTAAAAACAAAATTCTGATATTCAGAAAAACCAGATGATGGTAAGGTTAGTTTTGAAAAGGAATCTTTGCAGTAGACATGACAGGAGCTAGAAGCCAAGAAATTGTGCTCATTTGTTAGTAATTACTACATAAACAGCTTAAAAATTATTTTGTAACTTTTTATTGACCACAGCTTGCCCCTGGTGATGACCAGCTCAGCTTACACACTACATGAACGAGAAGAAAAATAGTTTAAAAGGCCAAATGCTAATCCTGTCAGAAAACTGTAGATATTATTATCATTTCCAATTACCAAATAAGGTCTGAATGAACACAATTCTGGAAAAGAAAATCAATTATTACGTCCTGGCATAGAATATTATCATCTTTATCTGAAAACCTACCTCAGGTTGATACTTGAAGGCATAACAATATATTTTTCAATGTTTTGTTTATGCTTTTATAAAACAAAAGGGAGTATACATATCTACTATATATTACAGTAGTGGGAAAATTTAACAGGATGCCAATGCATCTGTGATCAAGTCCAAAGAACTCCATACTCTATATAGAACACTTTGAAGGTCTCTGCTCACCTAACCAATATACATTTCCAGAAATGTAGCACAGGCACATTTTAAGATCCTCAGTGTTATAGAGGCCTGAGGCTTTCTTATTTCTCTGACATAAAATACTCCACAAATCACTGCTAAATTACAGTTATTTTACAACACAAAAATGATCTCCTTTTTATTTGAAAGGAATGCTTTAACTCAATATATTTAAAAACTATTTTTGGGTAAACTCTGGCCAATCCTTTCTAGAAATAATTATAAATAATTCTTACATTTTTACTTAAGTCAAAGGCTTTTAATAGTGAAGTACACATAAACCAAAATTCTTACTGATAATCTAAAAATGAAAATTTTAGGTGGAACTCTAATTAAAAAGAGTTCTTTAAAAGGGGACTAACATATCATCTAACAAAAGGTAAGCCACAGCAGGGAGAAAGCATATCAATATAAATTGCTACAGAGAAGAAAAAAGGAACAAATTGAAATATGCTTTCTCTCAAATCTCAATTTCTTTCTTCTTCAGCTTTCAGAGATAATCAATGAAGGACCAGATAAGCAAATCCTAAAAAGATTAATTTTAAAGTATGGTTGATATGTTATAGCCTTCTAAACAATTAAAGCATTTAATTTTTTTTTTAGTTATTGATGGACCTTTATTTTATTCATTTTTATGTGATGCTGAGGATTGAAACCAGTGCCTCACACATGGTAGGCAAGCACTCTACCACTGTGCCACAACCCCAGCTCAACAATTAAAGCATTTTAATGTGTAAATGATATGTGTTTAGAAATAAGACAATCATGTATAAAATAAATGCAATGGCTATTACAATAATAAAGTTATCTTTCTTTGAAAGTTTCCCTTTTAGATTTCTATAAATCAGAAAATCAGGTATACCTACCTTTCTACCATTTTAAATAAAACTATGCTTAACCTGATAAAATAATGTTTCTTACTGCTCTGAAGTTACTTGATTACTTTCCAAATCTGTCCCTTTTGCTGGGCAGGCATCCAGAGCCTGATACAGCACCTGGAATGCAACAGCTGCTCCAGCAATACTCTGTGAGTAAATGACTGAATCATCGGAAATTAATCTGCCTAAAATATTAAGCTTGAACTAAGGGATTAGGTGCAACTTGACTACTTGCTTCTCCCTCATATATAAGAAAGCCCACACATGTGCTCACATGTGAACATATGCCTATGCACATGCACACACACAGGCCTCAGTGGTGAATGGTGCAGCCCCAAGAAGGAAGAGGATCCTAGCTAAGACAGAGGGAAACATTTATTTGAAAAATAATCAATGTCTTATCGAAGATGTTACCAAAAAAGATGCATGTGGAACAAAATCTCATCCAAGAAAGTTTAGCTGCAATGAAATTATAATTATAAAGTATTTCTGGAAATAAAATCTCATTGGAAAACTATATAATAATATGTACATTTTATATGTGCACATAAAATTTTATATAATTCAGTTTTTCTTTGAGAAATTTGCTGTACTCTTTCAAACAGAGCATAATTATTTGAACTTGGGGCAATGTTTTCAAAGGTAGCTAAGTGTATCTCTAAACATTAGTCTCTACATCAAAATAACAATCTTTCATCATAGATATAAAATAAAATTATACGTTGAAAAACAACAAAAAAAAGAAATGCTTCAGTCGTAAACATCATGCTCTAACAGCGGGTTGAATAACCATGTAAAGATGACAACCCATTGGCACAGAGGGAGAAGAGGGGTGAACTTTAGTATAGAAAGCTCACTGGAGGGTACCTCCACTATTCTGTCTCCAGATTTCAAGGTTCCATTTTTGCCAGCTGGACTATCTTCAAGAACATGCTTGATGAAGATGCCCCTCATCACTTCACCATTGCTGAGGCGACTTCCCATTCCCCGTCCACCAACAATGCTGATACCCAAGGATTTGCTTGGTTCTCTCCAAAGTTCAACCCTACAAAAAAATTAAAATTTAAACTCTCAGAAGAAAACTTGGAGAAAAAGCTTCTTGGTGCTGAATTTGGCAATACCTTCTTGTTTAAGACACCAAAGACACAGACAATACAAGGAAAAGAGACAAACGTATTTCATCAAAATGAAAACCTTGTAAATCTAAGGGCACCATCCAAAGCAAAAGAAGACAACAACACACAGGAGGAAAATAGTTTGATAATCACATCTGGTAAAGGATTAAAATCCAGAACATAACCTAGATAAAGGACTTGAATGGATGAATATCCAAAGAAGATATGTAAGTGGCCCATAAAAACATGAAAAGATGCTTAACATCACTAATTAGCAGAGATACAAATCAATACACAGTAGGATACTATTTCATACCTATTAGGATGGCAATTATCAAAAAAGCAAAAATTAGAAGTACTGAAGAGAAAAATGGGACCATGTGCCTTGCTGGAGGAAATGTGAAATGGGGCAGCTGCTGTGGAAAGCAGAATATAGCTTCTTTAAATAATTAAATATATAATCTCCATGATTCAGCAATTCTACTTCTGGGATATGTCTAAAAGAACTCAAAGTAGGGTCTCAAATAGACATTTTGTCCACCTACGCCACAGAAGCATTGTTCACAATAGACAAAGGTGGAAGCAACACAAGTATCCATCAAAATGAGTGCAATAGATGAACAAAATGGTATATAATGCAGTGGAATATCAGTCTTAAAAAGGAAGAAAATTCTGAAACATGTTTCAACAAGGATGATGTTTGAGGACACTATGCTAAGTAAAATAAGTCAGCTCAGTGAAATAAAGGACAAATGCAATATGATTGTACTCATGATACAGCTGGAACAGTCAAGTTCATAAACAGAAAAGAGAATGGTGGTTGCCAGGGGGTGGAGGAGGAAAGGATGGGAATTACTGCTTAATGGGCACAGTTTCAGTTTAACAAGATGAAAAAAAGCTCTACTGATGGAGGGCGGTGATGGTCATATAGTGATGTTGAGTGCACTTAAAAATGGTTAAAAATAATAATGGATAAATATTTTAAAACCAATGGCATATTAATAGTAAAATTAAATTGATTTTACGTACTTTCACAATTATGTGTTTTGTAGAGTCTGATGTAAATACTATTGTATTTATGAAGCTGATTTGTTATAAGTAAATATTGCTCTCACACACCAGGCTGGGGCACAGACCAATATAAAAGTACCATTTTGCTGGAGGTTTAATATTACAGACATTAAGTAATCAGGAAATTCTGCTACCACTGAACAGATGGCAGCTTCTAAGCTTAGCAGCCAAATCCAGAGAAAGAACACTCCTGCACATGCTATGTTAGAAACTTGCCTGTGTAGAAGTCTTTCCTGCCAAGGCAGACCTGGTCATTAATAGTCAGGGCATGAATAACAGTGGCTGACAAAATCCTACATGATCTGATCCTTCCACTATCTCTTTAACCTCCCTAAATTGCACTATGCTCTTCTCACTCCGCTATTGTATTATCTCCTTATTGTTCCTTAAATTCATAGGCATGCTCCTGCCTTGGGGCCTTGGCACTTGCTACTTCCTCTGCCTTGAAAGAGTTTCCCCTATCTACAAAATAAATGCATGACTCATATGGAATAATTGTAAATAGTTGTAAGAGTTATGAATGGATTTAAAGTGAAAAGGCAGGGATACAAAAATACGGTGATTTGCAGTGAGATGAGGCAGCAGCTGAGGGTGCTGGAAGACAACACACTGAACAGAGAGCTTAAGGAAGTGATGGCAACCTGCAGTCTCTTCTATACCTCACCAAAGAAGGCAGTGTTAGACATTAGGCAGGAGAAGACAGCATGGCCAAATAAGCCCAGAGCATTGACATTTGAGATGCTCCCTCAGAGGAATGGTAGAAGTAAGAACTCCTACAAAATGGAGGAGGTTCCAGAAAGAAGAGTCTGGGGATTAAAAAGCACTCCAAACAGGTAAAGTGGGCAATGAATCAGATAAACACAGACACAGATATACAATTATCCTTTGGTCAGTACATTTTCTTAACTAAAATCTATAATCCCAGAAATTTTACCTGTTTAGTTTGAAAGACTCTTACCATGATACTTGATCATGCAAAATGTTTGTGGATAAACTAGTTAAAATCCTATCCATTATTTTTCTCTCATTCATTTCATTTAATTCTCAAACCATCCCCACAAAGTGGATAGTCTTGACTAGTCCCACTTAACAAACAAGGGGAGAATCACAGAGAGATGAAGTAACTTTTAGGTAATAGTTCTGTATGCTTCAGTGGGTTTTGGTACAGATAGCATATACTGCTTAGATCTAAAGGCTGTAAATTCTTAATACAATGCAGAAGACAATAAAAGACAGAGCTGCCAAAATGACCACAGTGATAATTCATTAGTCACTGAACACAGCAACGATAAATATCCCTGGGAAAGACAAAGAAGACCTGTAGAAGAAACACTGTAGAACAGGTTCATTTTTACTTCTACAGTAAAAAAGGCAGTCTTTCTGGAAATTTATACATAGATTTATAAAGAATGAAACTTAGGTAAAAGTAAAACACAGCTCACAGGCCAGACTGCTTAGGGTATAAGATGAGTTTCTAAAATCAAGTCTGCTCTTCTGCTCTTTAATAACACATAACATTGATCACCTTACATAACTATGAAATGGAACAAATAATCAGAGAGTTATACAACCAATTACTTAAAGCATATAAGTGCAAAAGAAAAGGTTTGGCATGGTGTAAGCAACCATCACATGCTTTATTACTAGAATGCTGCCGATGATGATTATTGCACTAATGGAAGAAAATACAAAATTCAGTTCATGTGATGCGAGTAGAGGTGCACCCCACCGCACTGATGCTGTTATACCTATAGGTCTATCAAGTCTAAATGTCATGTTCCATCCACCAGACTGAAACAACACTCTGTGACGTGATAACAAGGATATAGAAAAAAAGGAACTCATATATTTAAAACAGAACGAAAACTTGGTATGGCCACCTTGAAAAGCAATTTAACAAATGATTTAATAAATTAAAAAATATATTAATTTATGGGACAGTAATTCCTTTTCTGGATAAACAGTTAGATAAAGTTTCCTACAAAAGTACAAATAGATATATTTACTACACAGAATTACTGTAATAGCAAATATCAAATATTAACCCGAGAATGGGTAAACTGGTATATTCGCATTGGAATGCAACAGAATAATAATTATCCATTAAATATAATAAAATATCCATTCCAAATTGAATGAATAAGATATTAAGTATTAAATATGATAGATCTCCAAAATACTGAGTTGAAAGAAAAATTAAGAAAGGTGGAAAATGATACATAAAGTATTAATTCTACAAATGAAAACCACATGTAAAACAAACAGTAATACAGCCTATTTTACAATGTTAAAATTTATAATTCAATAATACCATCCTCTATTTCCACAGGAAGTAAATTCTTGCAGATTTCATGAATGGATGAAATGAAGCATGTCCTCGCTGACTAAAGGTTCTTATTATTCTGGTAAGCTTTCTCCTTATATTCTATAAACTTTTCCCCAAAAGTACCTTAGTGCTTCTATATACAGTTGTGAACAAAAGGTATACTGTTTAGAAGGGTTTATGAAAACTTCCTTTTTGTCTATGTAAGGAGCTACATAATGATAATGATTCCTGTGTTTGGTATCTTCTCTTTGCTTAGTTATCAGTATTCTATATCACATCACTACAGACAAGACAAAGCATGAGGAACTCACTGTGCAGAGCATTATGCTAAGGCTTTTAGGTGTATTAACTCACTGGCTCTTCCCCCAAATTCAAAAAGTTCTGCCTATACCCCATTTTAGAGATGAAGCAGCTAAGAACTAGCACGGATAAAGACACCTGTCTTAGAAAACATCAAAGCCAGAATTCCAATGTAGCTTTTACTTACTTTCACGTTTAGCATATGCTTTTGAAGAATTATTTTCCCTCTCATAATGCTGTTAAAAAAACTGACCAACATATCTTCCTTTTTCCCCTTGATTACTGTCCTCTGACAAAATTTAAGTTAACCATATGACCATCTGCTACAAAATAATTATATTTAAGTTACTTCTGCCTCTGTCTAAAATAAATAGGATACCTTTTATTTTCTGACATAGATCTAAAACTAATTCTTAATGTGGGTAGTGCTATGCAGAAACCTTGAATTTTTTAAGCAAATTGAATATTTTTGAAGAAATTCAATAAAAGCTCATTCAATAAATATTTACTGCTTCTCTGAAAGAAACAGAAAATGATGATTTCTGTATTTTAAAATAATTAAATATGATGGTTAGAGGCTCAAGTTCGTTTTTCAACTGGGAAAATCATCAAACTGTATTCCATCTCTGGAGAATTTTATTTATTCTGTGTAACAAATAACAATGTTTACTAAAGGCAAGGAACCATCAGGATAGTTACCAACAGATTTGTTTGGAGACACTATCCAATGATTACTTATATTCACACTTAATGCAAAATATCTTATACTGCTTTTTTTTCACGTGTCTCTATATCTTGCCCAGCCAAGTATATAACTTCCTTAGAGATAAGATTTATATCTGATATTTACTTCTCTTCTATTTACAAAATCATCAGCTTTAGGTGTGTTTCCATGTCAGGACTCAATACATTCCTATTAAATTGAAGTTGATTACACTCAGCATGAAGACTTTAATGTACCTTAATGATTAAAACACATTAACATATCTGAGCATATTTAAGAAAACCATGTTTTCTATTATATATGAATCTGGCGCAAGACAGAGTATTGCTTAGGATAAGTAGCCTGTAATAACCAGGTATTCTCTTCTCTTCCTCCTCTCTTCCCCTCTCCCTCTCCCTCTCCCTCTCCCTCTCCCTCTCCCTCCCCCTCTCCCTCCTTTCCTCCCTCCCTCCCTCCCTCCCTCTCTCTCTCTCTCTCTCTCTCTCACACACACACACACACACACACACACACATACACATTTTTAATATATACCTGAATATCTAGTTTCTACAAATGCCAGGTAAATTTAATTGAACATTTCATGTTATACAGAAAATATCCATTCCAATTACCTACACATTATTTCTTTTTCTACTTTTGTTTTGTCCCTACTACATGCCAGATTCTTGGATTTTTAACTCTGTATGGCATTCATATTTTCTCCACTGTGCATTTGAAGAAATAGAGGGATAAGAATATTAAACAACTTGTCCAAGGTCACAAATGACAAGATATAATCTGTTACTTGAAACCACACTTCCTTCTTTAAACACACCAAATGGGCAAAAGAAAAAAATTCTTACCGCCTGGGCTGATTCCAATTGCTATATGCTGCATTCTGAAGTTCACTCTCCTCTCCCTCTCCTTCTTCTCGTTCTGGTAGTTCTGGAATTTCTCTAGTTAAAGAATTACATAGAGAATTCTCCATTTAATCTTGTCTCATATATACTTAATTTTTGGTTAAGCTAAAAATGCAGAACTGCTTTACATTTTCACCATATCTGGCCAATAACTATATAATATTTTTACAGCAGTGGGAAAAGAAAACTAACCACCACAAATTAGAATCTTACACTATGATCAATCTACTATAACTTATTCTGGAAATAATAGCTGAATCCTAAGAACCTTTTCTAGTTTGTTTCTTGGCTGATAAAGAAGGAAATAAATAGTGGAATTTGATACAACTATTCCACAAATACTCCTAAATTTCTATCATGTGCAAAAAAGCAAGAGGCACCAAGTTGGTTATAAGCATGTGCAATCTTGCTCCTCATCCTGAAAGAATTTATCAAGAATCCCAATAGTTTAGTATTTCTTCCTAAAAATGGACCACACTGAAACATCTTGTGAGGAAAGATGGAAAATGCTTCTGGTCCAGTATCTGCCCATCCAGGGGTCCCTGACACAGAATATCTGAGTATAAAGTTGTATAACATGCCTATGCCAGATCATTTTTCAATTTTTGTAGCAATTGATTCTGACAAATGCCAAGCATATAACAAAATGTCTGTATATAAATAAAACTACACAATAATTATATCAAGAACTATTTGTTTTCCCAAAGGTACACTTTGTATCAACAAATGACAATGTATTGGCAATCGAAAATGTTAAATTGATTATGGCAGGTTCTTAAGCTATTAGTAAAAATTGGATTTCTAAAGAACATATCCACATCTTCCCTTTAAAGCACAGAAGGCTACAACAATTCTGATTTAAAAAACATTTTAAATTGATTTTTTCTATAGAAACTGAAAAATCTAAAAGAAAAAAAAAGGTATGTTTAAACTATAGCCATTCTCCAATATAGGAATACTGAAGTTTCCAAATTATATAATCAGAAGTCATTGAATCCAACCTCCACATGTGCTTGAAGGAAATCTACCTGCTATTGGTCCTACTCATTGGTTTCGTGTTTTAATTCCCCTCTACTATACTGAAGAATAAGGTTCTGAGTATGGCTAGGCTTCCTAGAGTCCAAACCTCACATTAGGGCAGAAGAGCTGGCAAAAATTCCAAGAAGGGAATTCCGAACTTGTGTCAAGGAGCTGACTGAAAAACACAGAAGATGCAAGGCAGAGAGGTGAAAAAGAGGCCTAGCCCTCTGGAATTAGAACTGGAGAGAATATGATGTTATAGGTAGGTTTTGAAGACAAACAGAATGAGAACTTGGGAAGAGTCCCTAAAATATGCAGTGACAGTCATGAGGTGGTGGACAGATTCTTAGACCTGAAGTCTCAGCAGGGGGAACTACTCAAAAACACTCTTAGCCATACTACACCATGGTCCTGACTTTTCGGCTATGAGAAGACTAATCCTGAAGGCTCTGAAACACAAAACTCAGTCTCTTCAAATTTTTCTGCAATCTTGAATCCTTTCACTAATCCAGATATGCTCCTCTGAATGTGTTGATTATTCTTTATCCATCTTAAGAGTGTGGCTTCAGCAACTCAAGCGTTAAGGGTTCCTTAGAGCAAAATGCACTAATTTTCTTCTTTCTGGGCTCACTCGGCCAAAAATGAATTAGATTTTTTTCTACCCTATGTTACACTGTTGAGAACCAAAGAAATTTCTATCAATTATCCACACTAACTCTCTTTATACCCACACGAGTGCCAGGTGAAGTAACTGGGACAAAGTCACATAGAAATGCAGCAGTATGATCTCAACTGAGGCCATCTTTCCAATAAACCTGAGCTTTGTGGAAAACAAAAGGCAATGCTGCCTTTTGTTTTTATGTGGCACATTTTTTATGGACAACTATGATTCTCTCTTTTTTTTTTTTTGGATAAATGGTTAAAAACAGAGTCTCAATGCTTATATTCCAAGCTTGACTCTGACACTTATTAGCTGTGCAGTTTGTGTAAGTTATTTAATCTCTCTCTACTGCAGATTCCTCCCCTATAAAATGAAGGTAATTTTGTTTTATTTTAAGCAATCTGACATCAATAGTAAGCAGCAAGCAGCTGATCACAGGATAGACCATTAAGGTTTTTCTTTCTATGCTGAGGGAAGCATAATACTAAAAATAGCTCTTACTTTCTAATATCTTTTGATATTTTGAAGGTCTAGAACTTAACAGTACTAAGATGTTACCTGGTATATTCTTTAATTATGCCACTGGAAACACTAAAGAAGGGCATCTCAATTATGGCCATTCCCATTTTGGCTGGATGCACTAGGAAACTATAATCAATTCATGCCACTAACCCAGAGATAAAAATACGACAGTACAGTGTAGTGGAGATTTGTATAGGGTAGAGTATATGCTCCTTTTCCATAAAATTCACAAGACACCAAGGACTACAACATTCCTTCCTCTTATTAAACACACAGCATGCCTTTCCCTTCCCTAACACTTTTGGTACACTGTGGTCCTATGTAACTTGCAGAGGAAGTGATTATACTATATCATGATTCCTGCAGTGTTGATGGACACCAGACTGTTCTGGGATGTTCTGACATCCTCTCAGGCATCACAGAACTCTTCTGAGAAGACCCCAGAATGCTTTTGAGGCTCTTTCTGTTCTACAGCATGCTTAAAGAGGAATTTGACATTCAGTTAGTTACCTGTGTAATTTTTTTTTAAAGTCCATAACTGAGATTGAAGAAAAGGCACATTCTTCAGGGGAAAGAAATTTGATATGATTTTTTTCCCCTTACTCTGAACTTAGCAGCAGCATTTAACCCAGGTTGCTGTCTTTCCTAAAGAAATAACACTTACCATTTCTTAATATACAGAACATCAAGAGTCTATAAAAAAGCTAAACATTCTGTGTCAAGCTATAACATGCATATATACCTCACGTTAGGCTCAACATTCTCCAGAGTAAAAATGTATCTATCAAAAATGTTTCTAAATCTACATCTATCTATATATTTTAATGAAGGAATAAATAAAATTCTGAAGATGTTTGATAATATTATGGATAAAAAAACACATACAAACCATAAAAATTGTGTTTTAAGGAAGTAATGAAATAATATTAAAACCTGTTGTGAATTACCAAAACCTGAATTACCAAAAACCTGGTGTGAATTACCAAAACTTTAAAGTGCTACACTAAGTGGCAGAATTGAAGATTATTTTAATGTCTTGATTTGAATATTCATATATTTCCCAAATTTTCCACACTATACGATAATTACTTAAGCAGTTGAGGGAAAAGTGGAAAAAATGCTTAAAAATCTTGAAAGAAGGAAAAGAACTCAAACTTTTACTTTGTTCTCAATCTCTGACTCAGGATTCAAAATTCTTCTTTATAGTTTGCTGTATAGTTCATTCACTGCAGTAGATTTAATGCTTCATTTACCTGCCAGCGTATGAAGAAAAAATATCCAGTGCCATTATTCCTCCATCAGATTGTTGTCCCAAACTTATTCTGAACTCCTCCAAATGTTCTGCAGGCACATAAGTAATTCTGAAACAAAACAAAGTCCATGAGCTGGGTGCAGTGGTGCATGCCTGTTATCCCAGCAGCTTAGAAGGCTGAGGCAGGAGGATAGCGAGTTCAAAGCCAGTCTCAGCAAAAGTGAGGCACTAAACAACTCAGTGAGACCCTGTCTCTAAATAAAATACAAAAATAGAGCTGGGGATGTGGCTCAGTTGTTCAATCCCCAGTATGCCCCCCCCCCCAAAAAAAAACAAAGTCCATAAAAACAAAGAGAAGCAAAGTTTTACCCTTTAGGAAGAGCTTTTAAAGTGTAGGAAAAAATTATATTGTCCCCTCACTCCTGCTTTACTTAGCACACTCAGCAAATCATTCAACGTCAAAAGGCCAAAAGTATTCCATAGGCAAAATAACTAAAATTAAAATTTTAAATGCCATAATAAACTATATGTTTACTAATAATCATATGAGAAGGAAAGTGGAATTATTTACATTTCCAAATGAGAAAGCTAACAGCAATTTTTTTAAAATTAGGAAGATGCATAAATCCTTAGAGGGATGGGGATGTACCTCAGTGGAAAAGCACTTGCCTAGTACACAAATCCCTGGGTTCAATCCCCAGCATCACAAAATAAAATAATAGTAACTGTCAATACTACCATTCATTTGTGTCCAAAAATATTTGGGTTCCCTAGCAGAAACAAATTAGGTGTATGCTATTAAAACACTAAATATCTCAATTCAGTTTATATTTTTTCATAATAATTCATTATGGACACTTAACAAGCATTACCAATAATTATTTTAGCTCTGTTATGTGATGAATTTTCAATTCAGAAGTATGAAGTTGCTGAACCACTTAAGGAAAGATCTGATTTATAGTAACTTCTCATTAGTTCACTTTTATTTCAAAGGAAAGTCTACTGTTTACATGAGAAAGACTATTTGTTAATTCACCAAGTACTGACTTAATGCCTATAATGTAGAAGGTACTGTGCTAGATTCTGAGCATAGCCATTCTATTTAGAAACTGGTATTTGAAAGTTTAAGTGTAATGCTTTCCTACAAGCCTATTTTCAAAGTTGATATGATTTTTGAGTAGTCTGTTCAATATCCTCACAATAATAAAAAGTAAGGTCAGAGAAATACTGTACCTGAAGTTAGTATGATATCTTGTGCAACTAAGAAAGAAATATGTATAAAACATGCCCCAAATAGAAATCCATGCATAATTTATCCATTAGGAGAATACGTTCAGAAAAATCTCAGCACCAGAGAGCAAGGCCACACAGACTGCATTTATTTTATAATAAAATAAAAATTTCAAAATTAGCATAATTTCTGCAGTGAGAAGGATGCATAATATCAGCTATATTGGTAATTCCACAGAAAACATTCACTCTTTCACTTCTCCAAAGTGTGGGGTCACTTGGGTTTGGGTTCTGTCTGTCATTAGGAGCATGTTGAGAGGTAAATCACCAAAGCTTAACCATACATACCCTCAACCACAAAAGTGTCATTTTTAAAGAGGGCAGTATAAGCTAAGAAGTACTATACAGATGTTAGACAGTGCTCCAGCAGGACACACGCTCTGCTTATCACATCCACAACTCCAGCAGAACACACGGACTTTTAGGAATTTCTTAGTAATTTCTTCTTTTACCTTAAGGATCAAAAACTAAATCTGAAAGCACTAGGTAGAGTGAGTAAGCTTCATTCAAATTCTGGCCATACCTTCTCTAAGGTACTACAAAAAATATTGAATAGTAAAGTTGCCATTATCCCTTCAAAACTAATGAGTCAAAAATGTGTGATACACTGTATCAGGAGACTGCATTTTATACAAAGCCCAATAAAGATAAACACAAAACCTAAAATATGAAAAGGCTATTTCAAAAAACTGTATAACTTCTGAAGATTTGGGAAAACTAATATAAATAAAGCCTAAAATCTTAAGTTAAAGCCAGGAAAAGGTGAGGGGGCAAATGTAGGATGCAAAACCAATAGTAATAATAAGCTCAAAGCCTTCAGATTTTTAACTGGTTTGAGAAGGTAAAGATGTTTATAACTCAATGTTCAAGTGAGTTTTTCTCTATATTTGTTTAAAGCTTTTTTTTTTTTAACAAAGGGGAGGGAGCAGGGGGAGTTTTATAGTTTGAGTAGCAGTGAGAAAGAGCAAAGGCAGCAGTTTTCACAAATATTTAGCCCAATATAAACAGTGAAGCCAGGAGAATAAGCATCCCACAATGCAACAGTACACAGAGCAATCCCAACACATGCCTGGTTACACGACCACACAAAAACGTCACATCATCAACAAAGAACACTGAAACCAAATTACAAACTGCATAAACACTGAAAACAGATTATCTGAGAGTTATATTAAAATCTTTCAATGTAAACTAACCTTTGGTTACACATGGAGTAGAAGAAAAAAGAATACCATTAGTGATGCTGAAATATGATATAGCTATTAATCCAGAGACTGTGCCTGCACGTGCAGACAGGATTATTCTCTTACAAAGGAGGTTGAAAGCTTAGTAGTTGGAAAAAATGATTTTCAAATGAGTTCCCAGTCATCACTGCACTGTGAAATGTAACAATTTCATAGCTCTGTTGGAATTTATGTTCTTTTATACATGAAAGAAAAAACCCAAAATGTATACAGTGAATCTATATCTGGATCTATCACTACATTGGGACAGTTACAAAAGCACGAAATGTTTTTCACAGACAAGTTGTAACACACGGCCATAATGAGCTTTTGAATCACCAATACTCACACATAAAAGGGGGCTCGATCGTCAGCAGGTGCTGCAGAAAATCTAGAATGTGAAGCATACGCCGTGGCATCTTTTTACAATGGTGTTAACAAATGTCAATGTCTTGTGCTGAATGTGAGATGCATACATATGTAGTTAAAAATGGGTGCTCCTGGTTGTTTTTTTTCCTTTTCCCTTTCCACCTCCCTCTCATCTACACCTCCCCCAGAAAAGCATCTGCTCTTTACTAGTGTCTATAGCAGTGATTATTAACAAGCATGGAAAAATGTAACTGCAATCAATCTTTTATTCCTTGATCAGGAATTCATCCCACACTTTAGGTTAAGGCAGGTGAATTCTGATTCAGCTTGGTAATTATCTGGCAGATGTTACAAGCAGCTGCTGCTAAGCACAAAACCCTGGCTATTATTACAGAAATATAAGAGCTCCTGGCAAGGTGGAGTGAGAAGTGAAATAGAATGCATTCTGGTGAGACTTCACATCTGGTTTTTCATAGAAAATAATGAAACCTGGAACTTAAACTGGCTGTTCTTGAACTCTTGAAACTCAAATTATCTATCCAGGCATGCATGAATGCACACACACAAAGTTCCTAGCTATCTATGGTAAATGGCAAAAAAGAAATCCAGTACATTGTCTGCATGAGCAATGCTTTCCCTATAAGCAATCAGTTATGTAACTGAACCAGGCTTTTTGTTATAATACACCTCCCCACCACCAGCCCAGATTAAGCTAAATTTATAAAAATAAATAAAGAGAAAGTGATGTGCATGGAGCATAAATCCGGGCACTGAGTACAAAGCTTGATTGGCCAGAGGCAGTGCTATGCTTCCATGCACAATAATGAAACCACTAGACTTTCCTTTTGGAAGGATTATTCACACAAGATTCAAGGTAATTGTAAACTTTTTACTTCTTGAAGGGCAAGAGATAGAAAGGGATGGGGCCAAAAACACTTTATGCAAAATGCAGGGACCATGCTGCTTAGCCCTGATCAATCTAAATGGCTATTTTGTTTCATCATCTAACATTTTTTTTTCCTGAAAAAAGATCATGCAAGGATGACTTTATATTCCTTTTATCATTTACTCAATAAATCAAGCTATACCACCTGAATCACAGCATTAGTGAAACACTTGAGAAGAAATCAATGTTTTGTGCTTCTGTGTATGTATGTATATGTATCTGTGTGTAATGTATGTATGTATAAGTGTGCACGTGAAAGAATGACTCCCAGAGGAGGGAAAGCGCGATAGTATTTTCCTTCCTCCCTCCCTCCCTTCCTTCCTTCCTTCAATATAGAACTTCATAGTACATTTTGACTGCTGAGATCTGAATGCAATTAATTAGAAAACTAGCTCTCTAGATATCCTTTGAGGTAATAATGAAGTAGCTGTCTCTATCAATGGGTAATTCTGCTGGATCAGTGGGTGGGGGAGAGGGGAAATATG